AACTCAGTACGAAGTCAAAGATGACCCAAACTGTTTTGTTTCTACCTCCCAAGCACTGGAATTACTAGTGTGCACCACCACACTTGGCTCTGCCCCCTTATTTCTTCTCGGTCTCTCCTGGATTCTGCCACCCAGGTCTAAGAACTCCTCATTTTGAGGCTGAAGACACCCACCTCACTCTCTCCCTGGCAGTGCCCTCTCAGGCCTCCAGACTGATACAGTGTAACTTGACTTCTCCTAGGCATAGCAAACTCGACCATCTGAAACAGAAGCCTTTCCCTTCCCAGTTTATTTCCAGCTTGCTATCCACGAACCCCCCACGCCCCTCCCACCCCCGTGCTTGGAACTAAAATCTGTCATTCTAGATTCTTCCCTTTCCCTGGGCGCTCTCCTTTCTACCTGTAAGCCCCTGACACTCACCTCCACAGGGTCTCTGGGGTCTATCCACCTAGCTCCACCTCCCCACCAATACCCAGCCTGCACTAGTTCCTCAGCCGCCTTCCCACTTTCTTCTCTCTCATTCCTACCCCTACGAATTTGGGTCACATCTCCACCCAGGAGCGAAGTTCTTTGTTAAAAAAAAAAAAAAAAGGATCCTATCTCCCTGGCTTAGAACATCCCAATGACTTGACCTTATTTTATTTATTTAGGTTTAGGTTTTTTGATATAGATTCTCACTATGAAAGGTCTGAACTTTCCCCATTTTACAACTGGACCAGAATTTCAGTTTGCTAAAAGGACAAAGGGAGAGACAGCATGCACACAGGGATGAGGGGGATAATACACACCAGGTCCGAGTCGGTCCCCACAGTACCTCAAGGCAATGACCAAAAAGGACAGTTCCTATAATCTCCCTAAAATATACCCTATATGCCCAGGTATGTCCCAAAATGGTGAAACTATAACCACAGTCAATTTGAAATGTACTAATGTGACTGATGCTTACCTAACCAATTACATTTGAGATGATGTTCCTGTCCCTGAAATTCCCCCTAGCTTTGCTTAAGGAGCCTGAATGCTCTTCTCATTGACGCCATTTTGTCTTTGCATCACATGGCTGACCCCCCTGCGCACTGGAATCTTTACCCTTGAGAAAATAAACACTCTTGATGATTACATACTGGACAGTGGTTTTTTGTGGGACTACTCTAGGACCCTAACAACTACATAGCCCAGACTGGCCTCAGATGCTAAATCCTCCCATTGAGCCTTGCAAGTGCTGGGATTACAGGCAGGTGCCACAATATCTGCCTTTATTCCAAGGTCAAGACCAAATTCTTGGTCATGTCCATCCAGAACTGCCCCTTGATAGGCCATCTAGTGGCACCCTGCCCTTGGCTCGCGGCAACCAGAGTGTGTTCATTTCCTGCAGTTGCAGCAAACCATCATAAGCACAGGGTCTGAAAGTGACATAAATTACACCATCAGGGGGCTGGAGAGATGGCTCAGAGGTTAAGAGCATTGCCTGCTCTTCCAAGGTCCTGAGTTCAATTCCCAGCAACCACATGGTGGCTCACAACCATCTGTAATGGGGTCTGGTGCCCTCTTGCTGGCCTGCAAGTATACACACAGACAGAATATTGTATACATAATAAATAAATAAATAAATAAATATTTAAAAAAATTACACCATCATCTGTAAGTTCAAAGTGGACTGTGCTCCCTCCAAGGCGAGGTGGGGGGGGGGGTCTGCTTCCCTGTCATTCCCAGCTTCCAGACCGGCAGTCGTTAGTTCTTTTTTTTTTTTTTTTTTTTGGATTTTCGAGACAGGGTTTCTCTGTAGCTTTGGTGCCTGTCCTGGAACTAGCTCTTGTAGACCAGGCTGGCCTCAAACTCACAGAGATCCGCCTGCCTCTGCCTCCCAAGTGCTGGGATTAAAGGCGTGCGCCACCACCGCCCGGCCAGTCGTTAGTTCTTCACCCCCCCTTCTACCTTCAAGGCCAGTGGCATGGCATCTCCTTCAGCTGTCACGGGGCCTTCTTCTGTGCCATGCCATTCCCCCACACCTGTCTCTCATAAGGACACACATAACTGTGCAAGGCCGACTGGACAATCCATGGCAACCACCACTCTTATTCCAAAAAACCCTACAAAGTCCCTTCTACTAAGAAAGGTCCTGGGAGCTAGAACCTGATGTCTTTGGGGACCATGACTCAGCTCACTGCACACCAAGGATCTTGTCTGAACAGTCTCTGTGCAGCTAGCTCCATGGCACTGAAAGCCCCTCTGCCCTCTCTCTGGCGGCCTGGCCAGCTCCTTCCCATGAGCACACAGCTTTCTTAGCGCATCAGAAAAAAGCGCCCTGGCCCTGCCGTCTGTTTGTTTCTCAGGATCTCGGCATTCCTCCGAGGAGGCAAGGGATACCCGAGGTGAAGGGCATCTGAGGTGGAAAGGTCTCACTGGTCTCTTGGCCTTGCTGCTGTGGGCCTAGGACAGTAGTGTGTCTATGGCAGCAGAAACACGGTAACAGAATCTGTTCACCTCGTGGTAGACGAGGATCAGAAAGGATGGGAGGTCCTGATGTCCCTGGGAAGGGCATGACTCCTGATGACTTCGCTTCCCTCTATCAGGCCCGACTTCCTCCAGTTTTTACCTCCAATAGCATCAGAAGCCAGGCACTGAGCCATCAGCATATGGGCCTCTGAGGAACATTTAAATCCCAGCTATAGCAACTCCCTTCCTAGTACTTAATAGGAAAGTATTATTGTATACATGTACTTTTAATGGACTTGCTTTCTGTCTGCCTTTCCCTCTGCCCTCACCCTGCTTTGAGGACAAGGACAGTAGCATTTGTTCGGACATAACTAGCTAATGAATTATTACCGAAGATGAGCTTACCATCCGACATGGTGCTGCGAAAATAGTCACTATATTCCCTCCTTAGAGAAGGTGGCCCCATCCCTACTTCCCCTCATCATCCGCACCACCAACCCAGGCAGGGCAGAGCCCCAGGAACAAAGAGAGAGACCATGGACGGACACACACATGGAAATGCCCCAACATTTAGCAAACCAGACACACAGAAGACCTCTAAGGAAGCAGGACCCCATCACAGCCAGCAGCCAACGTGCGCATGCTCACAGAGAATGGCTAAGTCTTGTGCCAGGCAAGCCAGTGCAGCAGGCTGCTTGAGGAGGAACACCACATTCCTTCCTTCTTTACCTTCCTCCTGGTAAAAGACTTCCGCTCCTACGGCCACTTGGAAAGAACTAAGAAGGCCCAGAAGGCTGTCCCTATGCACCCTAGAAGGCTCCAGAATAGCTTCTGATTTCACGCTGGGTTAGGCTCCACTAAGTTGAAGCCAAATGTGTTTGGACTGCCAGCAATTTCTAATTTCTTTTGCGTTAAGCAATAAATTGTTCAATAGAAAACAACATCGTCTCCCCCCCCCTCATTGTGGGACACGGAACTCTGAGATTTTGACAGGTTTGGGGGATATTTTTAAATGTTTCATCACAATGAACACAGCCTTGGTAACTCTAGAGTTTTCACCTCTGTGGTTATTTATAGCAGAAAGTTCATGATCACATTTTCTATAAAAATACCAGCATAAAAATAAAACCATACAGTTCATAAATATTCACCTGTTTTCACGTGTAATGATATGGAAGGCAGTAAATCGGTATAGTTAACAAATTACAAAGGTGATGTTTTGAAGAAAAAAAAAAACACAAAAAGACCTTGCCTAGAAAAAAAAAAGGCGGGGCCAGGTTTCATCCCCTGCAAACCTCCAACCCCTGACTCTATATCCTAAAGCATCTGTCACAGATCAAATGGGGCTGCCTGTTAGGGATGTTTCAGAAGTCCATTGTCAGCGCTCAGTCCACAGGCACCAGCTCGAGGCCCTGCTGGAGCTGCTTGAAATTCTGGCCCAGATTAGCTCTAAAAAGCTGCAGCTGGGACAGGAACTGACTCCAAAGGCGTGGCAGCGGCTACAGAGTAATTGATGCTACTGGAAACCAAAGTCCACCTGTGATCCCAGCTGGAGTATGGCCATGTTTTTTCTTGTAAATCTAGAATATCATGGGAGTGGGGGGTGGGGGCAAATGGCTGTTGTTTGCGTTAAGAAAGGAGAGCAGGATAGGTGTTGTGTCTGCTGTCTGGGTTGAGGTCCTATTGGGCCTCATGCAGAGTGAGGGACGGGACCAGAGTGGGATGGCCTCAGAGTGTGAGCAGAGTCCAGACATAGCTAAGAGCTGTTTCCTGAATATTCCTCTCCGAGAGAGAGAGAAGAGGAGGGGGTGTCTTGCATGTAGGTCTAAGTCTCCATACCAACAGGCCGAGTTGACATCTATGGTCCTGACTGACCCCCGTTAGAACGCTGGCCGTTCCGCTAGAGGCTGGCCACATACTGTCGGAGGGATCCTCTTGTGTTCATCTCATGCTTAGAGTCTGGAAATAAACAAGAAAGCAAAAGCAGGTGCATTAGCCGGAGTTCCTCTGAGGAACAGAACCAGCAAGGTGGGTGGGAGGAGGGAGAAAAAGAAGGAAGGAGGAGGGAGGGAGGGAGGGAGGGAGGGAGGAAAGAGAAGGAAAGGGAACTTCTCAAATTCACCATCCATTGGGGCTGGGTAGTCCAACAACAGCCGTCTGGAGAGGCAAAGAATCTGGTCACTGCCCTGGCCAAGGAAGAGACTGGACACTTCAGCAGTTCCATTCAACTCGAAGCCTGGAAGCTCCCTGAAGTGATGCTGGTGATGGTGTTGAAAGCCAAAGAAGCTGGAGTCTTCTGTGCAAAGGTGATGGCAGCAGCCATAGCCGATCTCACTTGGGAAGAAGAGGGGCTCAAGGATGCAAGTACACGCTATCTTCCTCCTCCTTCAGCTTCCTTCCACGGGGTGCCCAGTGGATTGTGTTACCCGCATTCAGTCAGGTTCCTTCCCCTCTCAGCCACTGTCCTACATGATGATCCTCTCTAGACACCCCACAGAAGTGTGGTCCTCTCGTCCCACGTGTCTCTTAATCCAGTTCAGTTAACTAAGGCGAACCATCATGCACCCTTGGGAGAAGTCAGTTCTGGAGGGCACTGGAGCATCTTTTTCTGCTATCAGAAGGTGACTATAGTGCTCCCAGGAGAAAAGTCCAGCCCTGAGTAGCATGGGGATGTTGCCTGGAGCTCTTCAGCCTCCAGAGTCCACACCTCCAAGGCTGAGAGGTCATAGCAGGAGTCTGCTGTCACTGGAGCTGAGTGCTTCGACTTCCTCCAGGGAGAAGGTGTTCCCTCGGAGCCTGTGGGGATGAAAGGAAGGGAGATCTGAGTGGAGGCTTGCAAGGAAAGTGGCCATCCTCGAACCCATGCCTGGGAGGGGTTCATGCCCAGTCCCAGCCTCGGGCTTACCAGATGTAAGGGGTTCTGTTTTTAGCATCTGCCACCCAGGGCTATCAGGACCACCCCACAGAATGAGCAACATTGAACCACGCCAGCTACAGACTCCCAGAGCCAGCTATTCTTTTTCAGGCAATAATCACATCTGTTAAGAATGAAGTGAGCAAAATTCATGCCCATACAGCTTCATCAATAAGCAGCGAGGGGCATCGGAACCCTTAAGAAGCAGCCCGAGGCTGACCTACTCCTTGGCAACAGAATGTGACACTTCTGAGGCCTGTGCAATGATTTAAAACAGCAACAATAAAACAACAACAACAAAAAGCATGTTGTTTCAAATGCTAGACTACCTTACCTCCCCAGCAATGAAACTTCACAGCCACACAAGAAGCAAAGTGTCTCCAGCCCAGGTTTTCGCTTTGGTTTCAATTTCGCTATTTGAAATCTGTTTGCTACTGCATGAAACACAAGTGCCGATGGGTCCTGTCTAGGTAATGAGTTGTGTGGGACTGCAGCCAGCTCTGAGAGTCAGCCCACCTAAGAAGGGCCAACTTTTCCTCCTCTCTGGTTAAATGTCTGGCGTTGACAATGGAGCTCCAAGTCAGGCATGGTGGTGCACACCCGTGATCCCAGCACTTGGGAGGTGGAGGCAGAAGAATTGGAAGTTTATTCTTGGCTACACAGTGAGTTTGAAGCCAGCCTGGGCCACATGAGATTCTGTCTGAGGTGGGGAGTGGGGATGGGTGAGCAGGAAGACAGAGGAAATACAGTCCTAGTGTGGACAGCATTTTTGAGGAAATACTGAAAAGTGTGCTTGTTTTGTTTGGATATAATGCTCTTGCCCAGACTTGCTGGAACTCACAATCCCGCCTCAGTCTCCTAAGCACCAGGACCATGGGCATGCCTCACCATACATACCTGATCTGAAGTACAGACCCTTACAGAGCTCTCTTAGTTTTAAAGTATTGAAATCTAGACCAGTGCCTGAAACACGCAAATCCTAATTTTCACTCATTATGTGTTAAACCAGAGCCTTCCTTTCTGTTTTCTACATGAGAAACAGGAGCCTGAATCAAGTTGTATTTGAATTCCTTTTTCAAATACATGGATGACCGTGGCTTTTAATGATACAGATGTTGCCATGCCGTACTGCGGTCCCCACCCTGTGTAATCTTCAGAAATCAAAGGTGCAGAGGATCTCACATAGCATCCTCAATCTGTAAGAGCTGATGTCATGGCCAGAAGTGAATAATGGGGTTCTTCTTTTAATTATCTAACCACACCCCTATTCCTACTTTGTAGCTTAGAAGACCAAAGTCTCAGAATAAATACTCCTGATTTCTTTCTTTATTTCCTTCCTTCCTTCTTGTCTATCTGTCTGTCTTTTGTTTGTTCATTCTGTCTGTCCGTTTTTCTGAGACAGGATTTTACTCTGTAACCTAGGCCAACTTAAAACTCAAAATCCTCTTGTCTTGCCAGGTGGTGGTGGTGCATGCCTTTAGCACTCCAGAGGCAGAGGCAAGTGGATCACTGTGAGTTCAAGACCAGCCTGGTCTACAGAGTGAGTTCCAGGACAGCCAAGACTACACAGAGAAACCCTGTCTAGAAAAACAAAACAAAACAAAAATCCTCCTGTCTCAGCCTCTTGAGCATTGGGATTACAGGTACACACCACCACACCCTGATTTTGAACAGAACTGGCCCCTCCTTAGAGACACTGACTTCCTTTACAGCCAGAGATCTAAATCTATTGTGTACAGAATAATAGCAAATGTTGAACAAAACTGGTCTTCAAAATTCCACCATTCATTTCTCCTATCACCCCATCTCCCAGATATGAAAACCAAGGTTTGAAAAAGCAAAGAAATTTCTCCAGTGGCCTTACCAAACTTCCAGAATGGTACTATTCCTGCTGAGGGCCTGCAGGAGGGCTTCTGCACCCCGGTAAGTAATGCCATTGTTGGACAGCCTGGAAAAGAAGTAGACAAGATGCGCTACTGTAACACTTGGTCTTCTGCTGAGCCTATCTGGTCTCAGGAAGCGAGCATATAAGCCCAGTGAGATCATCTACGAAGGCCAACATTCTTGTGAAGACAGTCCCTCTTCCACTCACCGAACTGGTCACACATTGGGAAGGACATAAGGGCTGAGCCCCACAGTTCAGTGCCAGGCTTCCGAGGGTTCAGATCCAGCCTCTACCATTTGCTGTTCAGCAAATTTGTCTGAATAAGAAAGTGTCTGCCTCACAGAGAGTAAAACTGAACAGGAAACAACACAGCAAGAGCTCTTGGCACAGCACCTTACTGGTAGAGAGGACCTCACAAAGAGTGATGCACGGGGACACAGGTTAGGGACAGAGGCTGAGACAGGAGCTGATCCGCATTGGAAATGTGGGTTCCTAGCCTTGCTTTCTAGGAACTACTACCCCATCTGCCTTCCTCCCTAGCACTGGCCTGCTGCACATCTGCCATCAAAGCGATGCTGAGAACAATATCAGCATGTGCTGAGCTTTCCCTGTGTGCCAGCTCTCTGCCTGTTACGTCAGTGCAGGCTTAGAACCCATGCGGAGGCCAATTACTATCCCTTTACACTTGAGGCAACGAGGGCTTCTGTCCAAGGAGAGAACGTCTGTCTGTGAAGCCTGGACTTCAACCAACACTTGGCAGAGAGGACAGCGGAAAACGAAAGAGATAGGCACTTTCTCTCTATCTATCTATCTATCTATCTATCTACCTATCTCCATCCTGTTTCTCTTTATCTCCTCACATATATAGATACTATGAGGAAATGGAAACGGTGTACTTATTGCTACACGGAATGCTTAAGAATCAGTCTGGCAACAAGTAACACAGGCCTCTCCCCACTCCCACCACTGCCTAACCTCCTTTAGGATCGAGTGAGGCAAAGGGTGGCAATGAGGAAAGACAAGCCCGCTACCACCTCCACACCCGATCAATGACACGCCAAGTGTCCCCAAGTGCTCCAGCAGCACTTGCTGTTCCGTGCACTGGATGTATTTCTCCCAGGCTCCAGGGCAACAGGAGCCTTTCCACTCTGAAGTCAAATCCCACCTTCCGAAAGGCCTTGTCCAAATGGCGGCAACCACACCTCATGCCAGGGAAGCAATGAGCACTGGCAGCCTCACCTGCCCAGACCAAAGCAAGCTTTCCCCACCAGATACCTCAGTGAGACTCCCAGAGCTGGCCAGAGCCTGACCTCTGACCCTAACACCCCTCCCCCCGTCCTCAGGCGGGGCATTATTGTACCATCACAAGGAACTTACTTCAAGATTTTTAAACTTGAATTTCTCTTCAGTCCTTCTGCAAGAGAACACACCCCTTCGTCACAGATATGGTTTTCCTCCAGGCTGCCGAGAACAGAAAGGAAGACAAGTTGTCCTGGTGACAGTGACTGTGGAGAAGGATGTCAGGAAGGATTAACCTATACCCTCACCCCATTTACAGAATCCCACTATTCAGCAAGAATAAGAATAGACAAGAGGGGTGAGGGAGTCTCAATTCCAAGGATAACTCTGCAAGGGAACTCACTCCACAGTGCCACTATATGAAAGTCCCCATCATTCGAAGCTATGAATACTCTTATCTCTTTCTTTCCTAGATTAACAAGAAACTTTATTTTGACGAGAGGAGCTATGCACGAACGAAGTGCATCTCCGGCTTTCCACTGAACCAGAATTGGCCAAGCGACACACACACGAGTCACGGATCCACAGGGAAAGTTAACAGATGGAAGCTTCCAGGAATGCTTCTGAAAGGAAGGAGCTCTGCCTGCCATTTGCCCTTGTACAATACAGAGCCTGAATCCTGGAATACAAAAGTCAGCACTGCAGATGGAGCAGTTATCCTGATATGTGACAAAGAAGACACACACTAAGCCTGCTGGGACAGGAAGACATAGAAACAGTTGAGGCCCTGGCTAGTCTGCTATAGACACCACTACAGCGCTAAACTGCCTTCCTTTCCCAGATTCCCCAGACACAAGATAATAAACTTTGCTGGCTTAAGCCTCACAGATGGAGGCTTTCTATCATGTGGTAGAATTAACTTACACTAAATTTGGCCTGAGTTTGCCTCCAAACTTCTGAGTTCCTTGCAGCAAACTGCAACTTAATTTAGTATGCAAATGAATTGAAACCTAACAATATATTCGTGCAGCGAAGAGCTTGGTTTCAGATGATCCCAACGGCCACGCTTCAGTGGGTCACAGGCTGGCAACTCACTGCACCACATCTACAGGAGGGGAATGAAGAGTTGTTGCCAACACGTGTTTCTGTGTATTGCTTCCTTTTCCTGTAAATACTGCGGCCCTTGGGGCTGGATGGAGCTTTCTGAACCCCTCCATGTTCCAAGTGCCAATCTGTTCATTCATCAGTCTCCGCTCATATAAATTCTGCTAAATCTGCCTTATCTAAACTAAAGTTCCCTTATGCCCAGCTAGCCAATATCCATGGTCTTTCCTATATTAACAAGAAACCTCATTTTGGGGCTGGAGAAATGGCTCAGCGGTTAAGAGCACTGACTGCTCTTCTAGAGGACCTGGGTTCAATTCCCAGCACCCACATGGCAGCTCACAACTGTCTGAAAATCCAGTTCCAGGGGATCTGACACCTTCATACCAATGCACATAAAAAATAAAGATAAATAAATCATAAAAAAAAGAAATGCTAAGAAACCTCATTTTGTTGTGGGAAGCTATGTGCTTGGAGCAAACAAACATATGGCATTCCCTACTCTCTGCTATAGCAACCAATCATAATCATAAGCAATAACTCTCAATGAGGTGCTTCTCTAACAAGAAGTGATGAGGGCAATTCCCAATCGGTATATAATCAACACTACATCTTCAGATCCCAGACCCTTGCTGTTGTGCAATGGTTTCCTCCCAGACTGAAACATATTAAATCGGAGGACCACAGAGGAGGGGCAAATAATACTGGGGGAACTTGGAAGAAGAGAAGCTGTGTTGGAACCCCAGTTCACCGGGCCAGCCAGAGCTGTGTTCACAGAGGAGATAAAGAAAAGAATGTTCCAACAGGGACTTTGAGGCTAGTATGGAGCTTTAGAGGCTCTGCTGAGCCCTTTAGTGTGATAAGATCTTTATAAGTAGGGCAAAGGCTTTGGCAGATCTCAGTGACCTAGACCGGAGTATAGAGAGTCTGTAAGGTAAGAGAACAAACTAAAGGAGAATGGATAGAGAGATAGAGAGAAACAAAGAAAGGAAGAAAGAAAGAAAGAAAGAAAGGAGGGAGGGAGGGAGGAAGGAAGGAAGAAGGAAGGGAGGGAAGAAATCTGTCAGGGTTATTCAAAAACTAATGTGACAAGATTTGTATCAAGCTGGGGTTCCTTTTTTTTTTTTTTTTTTTTTTTGGTTTTTCGAGACAGGGTTTCTCTGTGGCTTTGGAGCCTGTCCTGGAACTAGCTCTGTAGACCAGGCTGGTCTCGAACTCACAGAGATCTGCCTGCCTCTGCCTCCCAAGTGCTGGGATTAAAGGCGTGCACCACCATCGCCAGGCTAAACTGGGGTTTCTAAGGAAAAAATTAGTAAGAATCCAAACTGTGAGCTAAGGAGGGGCTGGGAGGCTTTGGAACCCAAGGAGCAGTTCACAGAAGACACTTGTGAGGAAACCATACAGGTGAAGATGATCAAGCCTGCTCCAGGGTGGGGAATCGCCCTCCCAGAGTAAGGAGAATACCTTTCCCTCCAGTGCAAAGGTTATGCTAAGGGTGGAAATGGTTTGCCCAGCCAGGCTGCGATGAATGGAGAGACAACAGCTATTGCTCCAACCACAGTGACAACCCAGGGCCACTCTGGCCCAGGGAGCCAGCAGGTACAGCAGAGGAGACCAGGGCTACTCTCACCTTTGCCCCACAGAGATACGAGCAGATTAAGTCAGGCCCATCTTAGTTCCTCTGGTGCAGAGAAACATGGGGAGGCTCCGGGAAAGAGCTCCAGATGGAAACCTAACAGCTCAGAGAGAATGACTGAGGGTTTCGCAGAGCTAATGAGGTCAGAGCCTCCTATCCATGCTCTGCACCCCACCTTGATCTGTGGGGGAAGCAACTGATACAAATGGGTGGAACCTTTCCAGGTTCTATTAACCCTTGCTTCTGCTCGACTTTAGTATCTTCCTAGTTATGAACTGCTGGGATCACCTGACACCTGCTGAGAACAGGTGACGACAGACTTTCTGGGTGCTTCAGCAGGTATCTTTGTAACCTGTTTGCTATGGGATGGTGCCTCAGGATGTTGCCCCGCCCATCCTCTGGAAAGGTCTTGCTATATAGATGACATAGTGCTAAACCCTGAGTGTTTTACAGGTTTGAAAAGCCATTAGAGGGTCATACAGGTACATCTAAAGGAAGAAGGACGGGAGCTCAGTCTGCACAAGGTGCCAGGGCCCGGCACAGCTATAAAATTCTTGTGGTAATATGGTCTGGCAGGATGTATATTGTGCCTGACAATGTTACTGACAAAATCCTACAACAGCCAGTGCCTATACATGTAAAGAAGCTACAGGCATCCTGGAGACTCTTCAGACATTGGCAGGTTTTCTTTTCTTTTATTCATTTTCTTTTTCTTTCATTCTTTCTTTTTGTTGTTGTTTTGGTTTTTTGAGACAGGGTTTCTCTGTGTCGCCCTGGCTGTCCTGGAACTCATTCTATAGACCAGGCTGGCCACCAACTCTGCCTCTGTCTCCTGAGTTCTTGGATTAAAGGCATGCACCACCATGCCCAGTGATTTTGGCAGATTTTCATACCCCATCTTGCCTAAGCTGCCTGTTTTCTGCATAATATAACTTGATAAAGTGTTATATGGGATTGGGACTGAGAGGCTCAAAGGGCTTTTGAGCAGACTTAAGATCCTTGTAGGACAGGCTAACCAGTGTGTGCCCTACTACTCCAGTGTCCCTTCCAGTTAGAAACCGCCAAGAGTTCAAAAGGCTATAGCTGGTGGCAATGGCAAAACCCACCTGAACAAATGGTTCCATCGAGTTCTGGTGTCAGTCATAAAAAGAAACAAAAGCTATGTATACAACGCTTGAACAGCAACCATAAGAGGTGAAATCCATAACTGGATCCACCTCAGTGACTGTAGAAACACCTTACCCAATGAAGGGCTGAATTGAAGGCCTCCTGACCAAACTGCTTTCGGGGGTGGCACAAAATCAAACTCTACAGACGCGACATACATACTTACAACAGTGGAACATGGTGTCTACAAGCCCTAGTACCAATGTCACACAGGCTGGCCTCAGACCCGGGTCCTTTAAAGCCACTGAGCATTGCCCAGTAATTAAACATCCCAACAGCTAAAGCATTTACATCCAAAAGATATCCTACAAGAGGAAAGGAGAGAGAGAGACAGAGAGAGAGAGAGAGAGAGAGAGAAAGAGAGAGAGAGAAGACAGACTTCCAGAGGCTGTAATGTTATTGAATAAAAGCCTCAGTGCAGAGGTGGGTTCATCCATCCCTTGACTTGTCGCCCAGGAACAGATGAAAATATTGCTGCTGTTGTTGTAGCCAGGACCAGACAGCAAGACCCCACTGCTGAAAGTACTGCCTGCTCATGCTTGACTGGAACATGGAGACGTTAAGCTGGGACTGAAATGTAAATTCTCACCCTGCTGGCTGGCTTTCATACAGCCAAAGGGAGCAGTATATAGGCTGCTGATGGGAAACTGCCACCAGCGTTCCTACTTGGCTGTGGATCTTGCATGCTGAAATGCCAACATGCTGGGCAGCACGTGCCTGCTAGTGCTCAGTGCTCATGGGTAAGCCCAACAGCCTCCCAGTTGGCGTTCAGGCCCACTCCACAAGAGGGAGTTCACATCTGGTACTGTGAGCCAGTATGGCTGAGGGTGTCGTGGGTTCCAATGGGAAAACAACTTCTATGGTTTTTCTAGATGGCTGCGGTGTGCCTGTCCAATGATCTTTTAAACGTGTGTTTGTACCTATAGATCACTGCCGTTGTCAGTCTCAACTCATAACCCCTGGTGAAGCTCCAAAGAACACGCGACTGCTACTGTGGCATGGTGACCTGGTTCTTAGCCATAGAAGGACATCTATCACCTCCTCCAAGGCTCAAAGACCATTGCGAAAGAGGGGGCAGAAAGAATGCAGAGCTAAAAACAAACGTGGAGCGTTGTGCAATGGTGTCTTCCAAGGTTAAAACATCCTGTCCTACAGGGAAGCTCCTTTAACAGTAGGGTAAACAACTCAAAATAGCTTCAGGAAGTCCCTAAAACTGACCAGATTCACCAACCACACCCACCACACACCAGTGCAAACCACAAAAGCTGAAAAGTCCCTCTCAGAGAAGCAAAACACTCCAAGACCAGACCAGCTACCGGGAAGAATCAGAAGCCAGCTGAGCTGCCTGGAAGAGGGTTAGACCAACTGAGGCACCTGGGAAGGACACTATCCAATCTATTGAGCTGCATGCAGGCTGTGCAGTGTGCCCAAGGTCCCAGCTTTGAGAATTCTCACCCATGCTGGAGTGGGCTTTGGTGATGCAGCTGTCTTTGAGTCATTTCTGTCCCTGTAAGTAACCCTCATCCTGCAAGTAACCAGAGTAATGCTCCATGGTTCACCAAGTTGGACTTTGGTCTGTCATGGGCTCCCTTTCTGGGGTCACTAGACATGTGTGTTACAGATCCCCAGAAAATATTTGGTCACACAACACCTCCACTCTGTGTCTGTGGCAATCGTTTGAGTACCCTTGCTTTGCTGTTTTCTGGAGAAGTCAATCACTCAGCATTTTCTCCCGCTGCTAAATCTGTAACTGCAGAGGCACCCCTGGGGTTGACGGCTCTGGCAGCATCTACAGGATAGATAAATTTGAGATCTGTCTGCACATCTACAGGATAGATAATTTGAGATCTGCCTGCGCATCTGCAGGATAGATAATTTGAGATCTGTCTGCCTCAGGTCTGTGGCATAAGCACACTTGGTAGCTCTTCTTTCAATGATCCCAAACTCCATTCACCTTCTGAGGTGAACCTTAACTCTGATTGTTGTTTAGGCACAAATTTGGAACCTTGGCAGGTCCCATGGCAGGTGAGGACCACGCGGATGAGGGACAGACAAATATCCATACAGACAGAGTTTGAATGTGAAGTTTATTTGAGGTAAAGGGAATGAGAAGGGAAGAAAGAATGTGTGTGTGTGTGTGAGAGAGAGAGAGAGAGAGAAGAAGAAGAAGAAGAAGAAGAAGAAGAAGAAGAAGAAGAAGAAGAAGAGTCCTGCCTCTCCCTTCAGAGAAACAGCAGGAAAGAGAAACCAGGAGTGGGTGGAGCTTGTCTCCTAAAGGAACCTTTGCACCTGCATACAAACCAGGACCCAGTCCAGGGTACAGCCTGGTACATCCTGTCAGATGACAGAGTAGGCCAGCAGAATGCCTGAATCCTAACACTAATAGCCAGTGTTCTGAAGAACTCCAACTCATCTTGAAATACTGAACTTCACAAACATTAGTACTCCTGGTACTATTGCTGCAGTTGTGGGCAGCTGCAATAGTAGCAGTAACCTCACCGCTACAATGTAGCTTTTACGAAACACGTACACAGATGGCAGGCACTGTATTAAGCCCTTACATATGGTAGACACTATATTAAGCTTGTACATGTGGTAGGCACTAAATTAAGTGCTCTACCAGGACTACCTTCCTTAATTCTTTAAAGCACCTTTCTAGAGCTGGAACATTCATGCTTCCAGTAGTCTAGGGATTACTTTAATGTACCCGCTAGATTCCAGGGTCTGCGGGTCTTCACCACTATGGCATATGCAGGCAATAAATAAAGCAGCAAACCAACATATCCACGTAGATAAAAAGAATTAGCAGTGAAACCAGGCTCTGCAAGCTTCACACAATTCAAAGCTAAAATCATTAGCTTACCCACACAACCTCCCATGGATGAGGCTAGGCGATCAATAAAGACTAGTACCTGCCTCCCAGAGTGGGGGTGGGGGTGGGGATCCTCCCAACTCACCAGGGTTCCTCTAGTGCCTTGAATACCCACCTCCCAGGAGTGGGAGAGTCCTCCCAACTCTGCCTCCCAGGAGCGGGGAGTCCTCCCAACTCACCAGAGCTCCTCCAGTGCCTTGTTCCTCTCTAGCATCAGTGCTAGGGCCTGGGCACCCTTGCTGCCAATGTTGTTCCCCACCAGGCTGGACAGAATCATGGAATAAAAATTAATCAGCATAGAGAGGGACCTCAGAGACAAACTGACCTATGAGGGGCAAATGACGCACCCTAATAGTGTGTCGTGTAGACATACAAATTGATTGCAGTGCCCCTTAAGGCCAGGAGCAGCCTCCAAACCCTCTCCAATTGGGCAGTCATTTCCAGTAGACTAAAATAAATATGATGGTCCTTAAGATAAATATGAGGGGTTCAACTCGCAATCTTCAATCTGCCAACAGGAAATCATGACCCTAAAAGGAGCAGAATCACCTCCAAAATGACCCCCAGCTCCTCACGTTCCTGATCCCAAACTCAATGTGTTTTTTCCTTACTCCGTTGCCTAATACAAGTGGGTGTATACAGAGTTCAGAGGCCTTCAAAACTGTCCCAACCACCGAGCTCCCCTTTGACAAAGACAGGACACACCTTGCAGCTTACCTGAGCCACATCATACTCTGGTGATCAGCCACAGCTTCGGCTAGAGCTTGGGCACCCTTATCGCCCACACTGTTGCCCCAGAACCTGAGAAGACAATAGGGTGCGCTTCAGATATGTGCCGATGTGTCCGTGTGGTGCTACTCTACCCCAGGGAAGTCTCAGTCGTCCCAGCAGAGTGGATCTACCACAGCCTTTTGATGAGGTGACCAAACTTCACTCAGACTTTTCAGTGACCTTACAGACTTAACAAAGGCTTGTAGACCCACCTCTCAGTGATAGGAAATTCATTTGCGCTACTGAAGGCTTGTGGTCCCACCTGTCAGTAATGGGGAACTCACCCTCAGTAGTGAAGGCTCATGAACCCACGCCCAACCCCACACCCAGTGATGGGAAACTCACCCTCAGTACTGAAGACTCGTGGACCCACCCCTTGGTGATGGGGAACTCACCCTCAGTACTGAAGGCTCGTAGACCCACCCCTTGGTGATGGGGAACTCACCCTCAGTACTGAAGGCTCGTAGACCCACCCCTTAATGATGAGGATCTCACCCTCAGTAGTAGGTCACATGGTCATGATAGTTTTCCTTCCTGACATTTGCTTCCTGGTAGCTTTCACCCACAAGTCTGTAACTATTCTCAGAGATTACCCAGAACAATGCTAACTCTTCCTGGACCAGCCAGCTTTTCATCTCTTGCTTCTTCTCAATCCTCTCTATTTCTATGCTGTCCAACTCCTTTACCTTCTGACCCACTGCAGCTTGGGCTCAGTCCCCACATTCTGACTCAGGACTGTACATTCAGAGACTTGCCCTGGACTGTGTATATGTACAGATAAGCGAAGACAGCTGCACTGGGCGGCACAGCGCTTTCGTTCACTATGTGAAATAGTTTGTTCTGATGGCCAACTACAGTAGGATGAAGCCCACCTCTGCAGGTGTCTGTGAGAGTGCTCCCAGCAACAATCAGATGGCTTGAAGGCTATGACCTCACCAATAAATAATTGCCTTGATGGATTCATAATATGGCATTGCTGGGAGGTGGTGAAATAGGAGTATGGCCCATGGAAGAAGTAGGCACCTGGGGTATGTCCTTGGGGCCATGTACTGGGTCTCTTCCTACATCCTGCCTCCACTTGCTGATCAGCTGGTGAGGGACAATTGTATATATTCTGTCAATTATGTTTTAAATAAACAGTGATTTGCCAGTAGCCAGGCAGGAAGTATAGGCGGGACAATCAGACAGAAAGTAGAGGCCGGTCAATGACAACAGGAGAATTCTGGGAAGAGGAAAGCCCATTCCTCTGCAGTCCTGCCCCAGACACAGAAGAAGAAAGATGTGACTACCCCGCTGAAAAAGGTACCGGGTCATGTGGCTAACACGGGTAAGAATAATGGGCTAATTATAAGAGTTAATGAGAAGCCTGAGCTAATGGGCCAATCAGTTTATAGCTAATGTAGACCTCTGTGTGATTTTCTTTGAGACATAATGACTGTGGGAACTGGGCAGGACAGAAACCTCAGACAACAATCAGCCATGGAGTGACCAGCTGTTCTTTCCCACAAGTTCCTGCCACCACAATGTTCCGCACAACCTTCAGGGGCTGAACAGTAACGGGCTAAACCCTCTGGAACCATAAGCCAAAAAATAAACATAACTTCCCTAAAGCTGTCTGTATCTGGTATTTTAGTACTGGCAACAAAAGTTAACCAATACGTTAGATTAAGTATGGACTGAGGTGTGGCTGTGTAAAAACACCGCTCTGGGCACAGGGCACTGCCATAGGGAAACAAACAAACCTGGAAACATCCAAAGTGCACCAACAGGTGACTGTCAAGTAGATGCACTAAAACCATCCAACCAGTGGGAGGCTGTGCAATGAGGTCATACCGTCTGAAAGATGCCCATACTACGTTGTGAAGCAAGAGGAGGGGCCGGGCTTCCAGAAAAGTTTGCTATGTTTCTCATAGTTTCCTATGAGAGTGTTTCAGTTCCTGATACAATCCCTGGCCCAGACAGGTGTCTTAAAAAAAAAAAAAAAACAAAAACAAAAAAACAACTTTAAATGGGACATGAATGAGACCTCAGGCAGAAGGGAGCTCCACGGGTTTAAGGCCTCATTTTGTGTATACTCTGTTGCTGCTAACCCAGCTGGAAAGGGTGCTGACTTTGAATGAGCAGTCTTCTTCCTGGCTCACACTGTTATGGGCAACTAGCCTACCAGAGCCATGGGTTGAAACATCTGGGCCCCATAGTTACTCTCTTCCTACGTCGTGGGTTCCACAATCCCCAGTTCTTGACAACTGACCCCTCCCTTGGAAGTACATCATTAGACAGGTCCATTTTGTCCCTTTTGTTCTTGAAAAGCACAGCGTATTTGTGAAGGCAGCCCAGTCCTGCGCATCCCTGAGGACCTCAGTTCAAGGCACAGCCCTCTCCCTACCCGCTGTACCATGAATTTCCTACTTACCAGGTGAGGAGGTGAGCACAGAGGCTGCTCCAAAGCAGCCTAGCAATACCCACGCTAACCCCAGCCCACCCTTCCATGTGGAGCCAAGGCTGCCTGTAGGCTCTTCAAGTGAAGCGCTCGCCTGCCCTGACATCTTTGAAAGTCACACATTCGTTCCCGGGGGGGGGGGGGGGGTGCTCCGTCTCAGAACCCAACCTACCCCAGGAACTTCAGAGAGGTGTTGTTCTTGAGTCCCTGGGCCAGCACCTGGGCTCCAGCACCTGTGATGTGATTGTTGCCCACCCTGAAAGGAAGACACAGAAGTTCAAAGAAAGTACAGCACGCTGGTCCCCAGCCTCTCCTGGGGTGTGGCAGTGACATGCTCTCCTGCAGAGCCTACTGACATCTTGACTCCCACCATGGTTCCTGCCCACTCGGACTTGGTTTTTCCAAGTCCTGGGCAGGAGTCACAGTAGAAAGCTGTTCTGGGAACTGGTTTCCCTAGGAATTGTCTTCCTAGTTTCAGCTATCCTCAGTCTACACCCCAGGACACCCCTCCCCATGACTTCAAACCCACTGTCGCCACGGGGTGCTACTGGCCTATTCTAAAAGGGCTGGAAAGAAGAGGAATCTGAAGGTTCTCTGACAACACCAAGGATACTGCAGAAGGGGAGAAAGCAGAGCCAAAGGGGTGTCAGAAATCAGCAAGGCAAAACCCCAAAAAGGCTCTGGCATAGCAGAATCTGCCTCACCACCACCACCAGTTCAGAGTTGCCACCCAAGACAAGCTTTCTAGAATAACTACAATACATTTCATCTTTTCAAGGCACTTTATGCCACTGTGGCTCACTACAATCTTATAGGGCAGATATGACCATCTCATTCCAAAAAGTATGTGTACCAAGAAAACAACCCAAGACCTCTGCTGGACAGACTAGGCTTGGGAGCACCCTGTTGGCTTCCTGAACTCCCTCAGAGCTGCTCCGAAATCCAGAATACCTCCTCCCATCCATCTCCTTCAAGCAGGGTCAGTCCCCAGCCTCCCCAGCTCCCTCCCCGTTTTCCCACCCGTGGGCATTTTCTGCTCATATATTCCCTTCTTTGAGGACTGAACTAACATAAGGACGCACAAGCTGGAAGCTTACATAATTTACCCACGATCCTTCAGTCTCCGAGCTTACTATATAAAGCATGTACTGTACCAGCTCTTTGTGTGTGTTAACTCTATCGTGACGGCCTTTCAGATGGCTCTGGGTACAATCCTCGTTTTTAAGGAAAGGCGAGAACAAAAACATTCATTATCTGACCCAAGGCCATGCAGTGAATAAAGGTTCAAATCTCTGGGTTTCTAGAGTTGAACCAGGGGCAGCTTAGCTCCAGAGCCCCTGCATTCAGCCACAACGACAGTCCCATGCGCTGGCCGCAAACCTAGGTCTCCAGTTCTGAGTCCCACAGCCCATGCTACCCACTGACTTCCCTAGATGGCTGGACCAGGTGAGTATGGTGAAGCAGGCGGCAGTGAGAGACCAGAGCTTTCTGTGTAAAGTCGTGCCTGTGGCCTTGGTCTTTGTAGCCATGTCTGAGGTGAGCTCAATGACCAAATCTTAAAACGGCATCCCTCATCCCCAAAGGCAGCTAGCTATTAATACTAATACTAATACTAATACTAATAATAATAATAATAGATGGTGCTCTCTTTGCTGTTGCTTCACAAATTATAAGAGGCATTATGAGAGAGAGAGAGTGTGTGTGTGTATGTGTGTGTGTGTGAGACAGAGAGAGAGAGAGAGAGAGAGAGAGAGAGAGGCAGTAGGGACTTGGGGCATACTTGTTGATCTCTAATAGGAATATCAGGTGGCATTTCAAATCTTGCCTAATGAGTGCTGAGAAAGGTTTGGGGCACAACCCAGCAACTGGGTACCACGGCTGTGGTAGCAAGCACAGGTTTGGTGTGCATCAGAAAGAACTTGCAATCTTCATAGACACTGGGGGTAAAGGCCTAGAAAATCTCTACCCTGGGGACCAAACATCCAAAAGAGGAGGTCCTCAGCCTCAGTAGAGCAGAGCAGACCATGGCATCTGAGAAACAAGTTCAAAGTGAGACCCTTTCCTGGATGCAGTTCAGGGTTACCGGCCACTGTGGGTCACACCATAGTCCAGCCCGGATCACCTGAACTCCGCTGTAAGGAGCATCGGATTCAGAGAGTAAGGGGAAGCGGCACTCACCTCAGTGACAAGAAGTTCTGCCTGTGTGCAAGGAGCTTGGCCATGGAGTAGGCAGAGCTGTCTGTGAGCTTGTTGTTGAAGAGACTGCTGGGTTCCGGGAAAGATGGGAACAAATCACATGACCAGCAAGCTAACCAGGGTGTCTTCCTCTCTTCCCAGGAGCCACCCTGCCTCCTCCAGCCAGGCCACACCTGGCCCACCCCATCACCCACTCATAGCTGCCTCAGTGGCCAGGCCCAGCCCAACTCACGCGAGCTTCTGCAGCTGCTCACAGTGAAGGGCATACTCGATCAGTGTGCAGAGACCTCTGTCTGAGATGTTGTTATCTCGCAAACTGAAAAAGACATCATTGGTTCAGTTAAAAGTGGAGCTGATGGGAGAAACCCCCAAGGAGACACTCATCTCCCAAATGACAGCCTCACCGTGCTTCTGGGAACAGGAAGGACAGAGCATGGCCCATGCCCCTCCCTCCCAAATCCCTGGCCAGGGGAGCTGATGGTAGGGGACAGTCCAAGGGGTGGGGACTTTGAGGGCTGACTAAGAGGCCACGGCGTTAATTCCAGTGCACATCTTTGCAGGACAGTGACCGTGACGATCACCCCACATAAGGCTGTGAGGTGGAAAGGAGTCAACCTGTGGGAGAAGCAGCCAGAACAGGACATAACTACCTAGCAAGTGGATGGCAATACCAGTTAGGTAGACAGTGGCTCAAACCTTGGAAATATTCCTGGGTTTGTGAGCACTGCTCACCTCTCTTTGCCCATCAAAGCCCCTGCACGTTGGCAAGCCTCTCCAGCTCCTTCAGGATCACAAGGGCATCTGAAAGTTCTCCTGCATGGAACTGGCAGCCCAGGAATCTGTGCTAGGTAAAATCAGACACCTGTGTATATTAACAACCATGCCCACTATTCTTCACCTTCAGGCAAACTTAGGTGGTCCTGCCTGGATGGCTACAAGCCCAGGTGCTAGTCCCCCTCGGCGGGATGTCCCGACCTTGACCAGCTGTTCATCAACTGTCCTAGCTTGCTTCCTATGGCTATGATAAAACATCATGAACCAGGAACAACTTAATGGAAGCACTAATTTATTTTGCCTTATGGTTCTAGAAGGATAGGAGTCTATCATGGCAGGCAGGCAGGCCCAGCATTGGGTAGGCACGAAGGCCAGAGCATGAGAGCTAATATCGTCAATGGTAAGAACAAAGAGAGAGTGATCTCCAAGTGGCAAGAGTCTTTAAACTCTCAAAGGCCACCCTCGGTGACATGATCCCTGCCAGCAAGGCTGTACCTCCTAACTTCTCCAAACTTCACTGCTAATTGGGGACCAATTAGAATTGCTAGCTGCAGTTCCCTTCATCTGCAAAAAAGAAAAGACCACCCTCAGTAAACTGTGCCCATACAGCCCCCTGAGCACCATACCTGGCAAGAGCCACCTGGAATCACAAGTACACCCATGTGCCAGGCATTGCTCTATATACGCCCCAACAGTAACACTGTGCTCACCCCAAGCCCATGCAATAGATGATATTGTTATGTCCTCAACAGAGAGAACATGAGGCACAAATAAGTGACCTGACTTTGCTGAGGTTGCACAGTGCTTAGGGTTCCCCCAAGGCTTGTCTCAGGCTCTCAGAGAAATGATTTTTGAGCTGCAGGTCTTATGACCTCTTAGTGAGTCCCACAGACAATTCTGAAGGTCCTGAGCAAGATTTAAGAGCTGAAGTAGAAAAAATAAAAGAAAGTAGAGTGAGGGGCTGGAGAGATGGATCAGCAGTTAAGAGTACTGGCTGCCCTTCCAGAGGACTGGGGTTCAATTCCCAACACCCACACAGCAGCTCACAACTATTTATAACTCTAGTTCCAGGGACCCCAACACTTTCACACACACACACACACACACACACACACACACACACACACATATATATATATATACAGGCGAAAGCACCAATGTACATTACACAAAATAAAAATAAATTATTTTTTTAAAAAGAGTAAGTCAGAGCTAATAAGGGAAGTCGTTTCCCCAAGCTCTTGTTTCGGTTCTATGTGCCTGTGCGTTCTCTCTGAGTGAAACAGAAAACCGAAACCCATCAGCCTTGAGGCAGAGAGAGCAGAGTCTGCAGAAACCTGCATAGGAGCACTTTGCGTGTAGGGTTTCTTAGAGACGAGGATTTCAGTTGGCATGGAAACCCTTCCAGTGAAGAAGATGCAGACTCACACTGTGGGAGAGAAAGAAGCCTGCCCCTTCTTCCCTTCCACTTTCTTTCCTCCCTCTTTGTGGCTGCGTTACACACACACACACACACACACACACACACACACACACACAAAATGCCAACCACTTCTCAGTTGTACGTAGGTTAAGAACGGTAGAGCTTGGCCAAGGGCCTTAACTGCTGTGTGCAAATCCTCTTTCTCTTCCTAACGTAAATCCCCAAGGTGATTGACGCATAAAGTGAGAAGGTTCATTTGGACACGCACTTTGGAGCTGTCAGTCCATTAGATAGCCTTATTGCTTTGGGGCCTGTGTCAAGGCATCGTATCATGACCGGAAGGTGAAGGAGGGAAAGAGTATACATCTCCAGCCAGGGAATAAAATGTAAAGGAATGAACTGGACTCCTGTAACCCTACGAGGACACACCTCCGATAACCTAGACGTCCCACAATGCCCCACTCCTTAAAGATTACACTTCCCAACACATGGATCCCCCAAAAGCATACATCCATTCACGGCAAGAGCTCAAAGTAAAAGAAGCTGACTCCTGCATATTCTCACAGGATAAGATTTCTGGCATCTGAGGATGCTTGTTACAGTTTGCCAGGCCCCAAGCCTAAGCCTCCCAGACAGGAATTACCGTGGCCTGGGAATCTCCTATTCAACAAGTATCTTTTCATGATACAATAGCCTCCCAGACCCATCAGCATGCCACAGGATCATATGAATAACATGATCATTCTTAATCATGGAGAGAGGACCATTTAAACATTCCGGAGATAGGGGCTGAGCCTAGTAGACTGTAACTCCGGTACCGAGTAGTTAGGGGCAAAAAGATCTTAGATTTGAGATCAGCCTGGATTGGCTGAGGCCTCATTAAAAAAAAAAAAAAATTCAGAGATGACTTGCTCTGAAGATTATCCAGGCCAGTGTCGCTGGTCTTCTGAGGTTTGTGGTTTAAAAGTATGGTCTCACTGTCAAGGAAGGTACACACTCAGATTTCTACCAGAGCAGCTTCAGCATCCAGGTGTGCAAATTCCCAGTCAAGGAACCATGTTGCTCCCTTCCCGAGGAAATGGCACATTAAATACAGGCCATGTCCACTCATTTTCCTGGTCAGAACCATGCTCGTCTCTTAGCTCTTGATGCTGGAAAGCAGATACTCTAAGATGGCATCAGGCAGCCTCAGCCTCCCTGCTAGGCTCAGCTAACAGAGACACAATACTAGAAAGGCAAAGGGGCAGAGAGAAGGGGCAGGGCTTTCTAACCTCAGATGCATCCCTTCCTAAAGACCCTCTCCAGGTCTTCTCTCAGCCAGTAAATCCTCCCTTGCCTAGCGCCCTTCCTAATTCCCATCCACAATTCTGCAGTTGCTTCCGTAGACTTTCTTCCTGCTTCCCAACTTAAGGGCAACATCTGTTTCCTCAAGGCCCAGATGGAACTATTCATATTTCTAGCATATAGTTATTGTACACACTAGAGCAGTAATATTAACTCCATATGCTGTACATGTGTTCTAAACATGCAACCATAGTCCCCGTGTAAGGGTTAGTCAAGTCCCCACAGCCTCACACCGGTGTCTGTATATTGTGGCTTTGTCTCAGAGCAGATAAGCCATCCTACTACACACGGAAATCTTGCCTTTTGCTCAGTTCAACTAAGGTTCTCTACGAGGAGAACCAACACCCCAGGAGGTTCTGATAGGCTCTTTAAAAAAAAATAGCAGAAGGTCCCTTTCAAGACAAAGGACAAAAGAGCTGGGAGCTGGGAGCTGCAGCCACGCTGGTTGGCAGGCCTGGGCGGACCCTCTGCCTTTGTCTGACCCCAGGCACGGAAAGACGCCACGCATTCAAGAGCACAGACGTTCAGCCACGGAACAGAAAGCAACACGGGTAATGGAAAGTCCTCCACCCGCTTTCTCTCAAGACCTGAAATTCCCATCTTGGTGAGATTTTAAAGACTCTAATGAGGTTCAAATCCTTTCTGATTTGAAGTGGTCCCCAACAAAGACATAAAACTTTCCATGGGCCCTCAAGACTTTCCCAGTGCATTAGAAATGCACCCACAGGCACGGACTAGGAAATTTGGAACCAGAAAGACTTGACTTGTGAAAGCCATACTTGTTTTCTCTATGATTTTCCTGGTCAGAACCATGCTCCTCTCTTAGCTCTTGATGCTGGGAAGCAGATACCCTAAGATGGCATCAGGCGGCCTCAGCCTCCCTGCTAGGCTCAGCTGGCAGAGACACAATGCTAGAAAGGCAAAGGGGCAGAGAGAAGGGGGGGGGGGCCTGACTTGGATGAGTTACTTGACTTCAGTGAACCTCAAGTAAAGGGTCATGGGGTTGCTAATAGCCCGGCGGAGCCCAGCGCAGTTGTGGGAATAGAGGAGGTGATTTCTGAGAAGTGTGGCTCAGTGTTTAACACAAAACTTCGAGTATGGCTGTGATGGGCAGTCTTGATTGTCAACTTGACACACGTGGGGAAAGGGAACAACTGAGGAACCGCCTCCATCAGATGGGCCTGTGGGCATGTCTACGGGTCATTTTCTTGATTGCTCATTGACGTAGGTGGACCCAGCCCACTGTGGGTGATATCGTTTCTAGGCAGGTGGACCTGGGGTGTATAAAGAAGCTAGTCGAGCAAGCCAGAAGAAGCAAGTCAATAAGCTGCATTCCTCCGTAGTTTCTTCTTCACCCACCTGCCCTGACTCCATAGATGATGAAATAAACTCTTTCCTCCTTAAGTTGCTTTTGGTTAGAATATCATAGCACAGCAACAGAAAGCAAGCTAGGGCAGTGGCTGTCATTGTCTGTTTTGAAACTAAGGTCCAGAAGAGGAAAGGGTCTGGCTGATGTATGGAGGGTGGCAGACCTGGATTTCAACACTGTGTTAGGCTTCTACATCTTAACTTGACAATAGCATTTGCCACAGGTCCAACTAAGGGCAGGTTAGGTAACTAAGTCGCCATCTTTACTGAGGTATTCCTTGCCTAGTCTTGCGATTTACTTACGTTTGTGTCTCTAAATTCCTCTTACTGACTCTGTTACATGTGTGTTTTTACAGTGCCATGCTTTTGGTAGGGCCCGCCAAAGCATCCACTTCACCCAGCTCCTATTTAATATGTGTGTGTGCATGCATGTGGCTTTAGAGTTAACTTTATGTATGAACATAAGTTAGCTTTAACTCCATGTGTCTGTATAAAACTTAAATTCAACTATGTCTATCTGCACATGTACTTACTGTGAAAAGATGTTTTCGAAGCTAGCCTACAGCCTTTCCTGTGAGCCATTCTCCACTCTCGTCAGTTCTACCGCTAAGCTTTTATTGCAAACAGTTTTCTCTTCTTTGTCTCTCACCGGTATAAGTCTCTCACCTGTTACATTAGAGACCAGTACAGTCAAGCTTGGACTCAGCTCTCCAGGCGGATCCTATACTGTAGTCAGAACTTATCTATACCCCACAAACAGCACTCAAGTGCTCAGAGAGCTAGGAAAAATGGCATTTAAATATTTAATTATTAAAAGGCTTTCCATAACAAAGAGACAGGTTGGCTCCTAGCAGCAGCACTCTATTTCCTCCAAAGAAGACAGAAGACAAATGGGCACAGAATAACGTCCATCCGCAATTTGCATCAAGCGCTGACCATTGGGAAAAACTATCTTTCAACTAAACTCCTGAAGATCTCCAGACAGTGGATAAAGGAAAATTAGAATCGACGCTACTCAGTGCAAGGTAAATTGTCTTCCTACAGAATTCTTAATCCACGGAATCTTCTAAAACCTGGCAGGCCCTGAGCTAACCAGCAGAAGGCAAACACAGTCTTGATGTCCCTGCCCTCAATGATCATGGAAGATACTGAGGAATGGCTGTAGGCCAATCGAGTAAGTTATCTGTCATTTTTTAATCAATAACTCAAGTATTTTATCCTTCTCAAAGATCTCTGATGCAATTTGACAGCTGAGAAGTTTCGTCAGTTTAAAATGACAACCTCACCAGACAAATTTCAGTACAACTTCTTAACATGTTCTAAATAAAAGGTGCTTTAAGAATCACAAATGCAGGTTATTAAGGTGTGAGGACAAATGAAAGTTATCAAATTTCTCTCTCAAGCTGCCTTTTATAGCCTTAATCTATTAATCTAACTCTGGCAGAGTACTACTCTAAAGATATTTTTCATCTGTCACAGTCATTCTGACATAAATATGCTGCTGTTTAAACAATGCATGTGTCTAAAATTTACGTCTCAAAAAATTCTTGCGAGTTCCAGGGAGTCAAATCGAAGGATTCGCCTTAAACAGGTCAGATACACCTCTCTCAAATCCTGAAATTTTTTTCTTCCTAAACCTAACCTTATCCTCTGCTCTGCCAATACCTTGCCAGGTCCAAGAGACACTGGACAGTTTCATACCATAAATCCTGGACAGGAGTGATGCAACCAGCTACCCCAGGATATAACCAGCACCCAGCTTTCTCAGCACCCCCAAGTAAGATTCAGTGCCCACAAATAAGCAGGAAGCTGTCTTGAAAACCCGCTGTCCCATTTCCCTCAACCTGCCATGCATCCCTAACTCCCAGCCTTTTTATTGTAAGAGAAAGGCAGGAATGTTATAATTTGCTGGCAGGGTCTGTCACCTGTGTACCCTGTCCCTTTAAGAGACCAGCCCCACCCACTCCCAATCTCCCCCTTCCCACCTCCTCTCCAGTGGGTTCTCTCTCTGTCCCCTCTTCTAGAGAAGAGGTTTCTGCATCTCTCTCTTCTCCCTTTTTCCTCTTCTCCCCTTCCCTTCTCCCTCCATAACCCACTAAATAAACTCTACACCCAAGCTCTCTCTGCATGGCATATCTGTCTCTCACCCTCCGAGGTCGGTCTCCTGGTCTCCTATCTGCAACGGGATGGGACCCACCTTGGCCTTGGGTCACCCAGTTTTATAAAATGATAACACTTGAGGCAGGCGGATCTCTGTGAGTTCGAGACCAGCCTGGTCTACAAGAGCTAGTTCCAAGACAGGCTCCAAAGCCACAGAGAAACCCTGTCTCAAAAAAAAAAACAACAAAAAAAAAATGATAACACTTGTCACACTCACTACAGTGCTGTGCAGACACCAAGGCAGGGCAGCAGCTGCCCAACGCCAACATCGCCAACAGAGTTGTGGTCCAGCTGCAGGGCCACAGGCCGCTGGAGGTGCCGCAGCACAAAGGCCAGAGCAGCACACTCTGCAGGGCCCACTCTGCAAAATGTTAACTTCAGGTGCCCAATGTCCAAGCGACGCACAGCCTCCTGTGCCAACTGCTCCTCCTGCATCTCATACAAGCACCGGATAAGCCAAATGAAGCCAGGCATGGCATGCATGCTTTTGGCCTCACCGGGCACAGCAGGTGGGATGTTGTGGAAGTGTTCCCGAAGGCTTTGGGCCAGACATGAGCGGGCACATGCGTGGCGCTGGAGTAGCACCCTCTTAGGGATCTGGCATGCGACTAGCAGGTCCCGATGCTCCTTGGACAACAGGCCCGCTAGGAAGGCTGCTGTGATCTGCAAGTTGTGTGGCTCAGCTTTCTGTAGGAGAGCCACTTCGCTGCCCTTCTTGACTCTGGAGCCCTGGATACACAGAGTGGGCAGCAGTCTAACCAGCAGTGAGCTGCCCAGCCGGCCACAGCCGAAGAGGTGCCTGAGGGAGGCTGCCGCTGTGTCCGCACTGACTGCCAGGTAGAACGCGGCGAAAAAACACTGGAAGGTAATGTGCAGGAATTCCAGGGGTGCCTTGCTCCCGGGCACAACGCTTTGGGCACGTACCAGGAAGCCAAGAGCAATGTCCTCAGAGTCAACCTGTGCTGCCTGGAGCTGCTGGACTGAGAACACATAGCAGCTCAGGGCCAGGCCCTGGAGAGCCAGGTGGCCAAGGTGCAGCAGGGTGGAGAGCCGGCTTTGAAGGAGCCGAGGTCCCAGACCGAGGGGGTAGGAATCTGGGGGGGAGGCGTGCAACAGGAAATGCTGGAGGATCAGGAGGTACATGTCTGTGCTGGTTGTCGGGAACTCCCCATTCTGCAGCAACAGTTCCTGGTGGCATCTGGACACCATCCATGAGAAGACAGGGAGGTGGCACAAACCGTGCAGGGCTGATGTGGCTTGGAGCAGGCAGATGAGGCGGTCTGCCACTCCGGGTTCCCGGTGGTGCTTCCTCAGGTATAGTTCGATGCCTTCTTCGGAGAAGCCCTTGAGGTGGCATTCGGTCCGGACGAACTTCCTGAGGAGCGCTGACACGGCGTCTGGACGACTGGTCAGCACCTTGCAGGCGTTCTTCAACAGGTTCCCCTGAAGGAGGTTGAAGAGCAGGGTCTGGACTGAGGTGGGGTCGGTTGGGGAGCAGTGACGCTCCCGGTCGGTAAACCGGAACTTGAACTCATCCAAGCCGTCGAAGGTTAACAAGACACGGTCAGGATGGTCAAGGAGGAACTGGAAGACATCCTGCTGGGCAACATCCGGCCAACAGCAGTGCTCAAAGAGCAGCGTCCTTAGAGACAGCGGTTTGGCCATGCATTGCAGCTGCCGGCAGCTGAATGGGAAAACGAAGAGAAACTGCTGGAAGTTCTGCCCCGTGGCCCACAACAAGTGCAGCCGCTGCAAGAGGGTACTCTTGCCACTGCCTGCTTCGCCCACCACCAGTACGGTGTCTGCATCCTTGTTCAGATGGTCATGGGTACCAAAGAGTTCCTCCAGGCCCAGGACGGTGGGACTCTTCTGCGTGGCCCCAGCCGTGCCCACCTCTGTCCGCAGCTCCAAGATGTTCTCCGTGTATATATCCTCCAGGCAAAGATTCTCTGACCCGTCGTAAGTACTGAGGAAGCGAGACTGAGCTGACACCATGGTCCTCAGCTTCGAGATGAACCTTTGGCACTCAGCAGCTGGGGTACAGAATAGGAAAATGAGGCTGGTATCGTGGTCATAATGGGACCTACGCAGAGAGTCACCTACACTAGGGGTGAGATACATGGCTCAGAGAGCTAGCGGGCACCTATCCTGCCTTGGCCACTTATAAGCTGCGGGATTTGGGGCAGCCACAGAAGCTTCCTAAGCCTGGCTCTTCTCTGCAAAGCAGGAAAATGTCAGAGAACTTTGACATGGGCAAACAGAGATGATGCATGCCACCTGGTAAGTATAGTGTCCAACACAAGACATTGGCCACTGCCATACTAAATATGTACACCTGAACATGCCAGGGAAGGTATGACTCGCAGGATCCACATCCTGTCTGTTCCTGTTGCATGGCCTGAGTTACCATTCAGTCTCGGCTGCCAGTTTCTGAGGGAAAATAGGGGACGGGGCTTAGGTGTCCAACTTACGAGGTCTGACACCTGGGCCTACCACCTGCTTGGCAAGCTACTTGGCCTTGCTAAACCAGTTTTCTTCTTAATGTGAAATGTCCCCACCGGCTTATGTGGTTTGCATGTTTGGTTCCCAGCTGTCAGTACTGTTATGGTAGGTGTGGAACACTTAGGACACAGGGCTAGCCGGCTGACACAGTCCCTTGGGGGGGAGGGGGGACTCAAAGGTTACAGCCTGGCCCACTTCCACCTGAGCTCTCTGCTTCCTGTCTGTGGCTGTGATGGAATCCGCCTCTCCTGTTACCACTCCTTGGGCCAAGCTGCACCCGCCACCAGTCCTCCTGACCACAACAGACAGTCCTAAAGCGATGAGTTAATCCAGTCAGGTATTCCATACCACAAGAAAAGTGGCCACGGGCAGTGTCGAGATCCGATTCCTGAAACCTACGCCTCTGTTACCTTATATGGCTAAAAGGACTGGCCGGAAGCAGAGGCTGACTCTGAGAACTCAGGGTCACTGGCATCTGTGCCGAGTCATCAACAAGATCTATCCTTCCTTCTTGCCCCTTCTTCCTCCTGCCCCTCTGTACCGAGGGCCCTACTTCCTCCCGAGAGCTTAGTTCCTCTTTCAGGAAATAGGGAAGGGATGATCAGAGGCCCAGACTGGCAGGACGTCATAGGACGTCATAGGATGTCAGCATCTTCACCCACCATGGCCTCAATGGCCCCAGGAAAGCACCAGTTCATTTGTCATTAGCTCAGAAGCAAGCAGATTCTTGTCAGAGAGCTCTTAGCCCATAGAAGTATCTGCAGAGCCACGCAGGAGCCCCATGCTGATATCCCTTCTCTCTGTTTTCTTCTTTGATATGGGCCTCACTATGGAGCTCAGACTAGCCTCAAACTAGCACTCTTTCTGCCTAAGCCTCCCTAGGATCTGGGGATTAGAGGTTGGGCCTCCACACCCAGTATTCAAAGCTTCTTGTTCCCCAAGGTGAGGATCCTTGTAGCTCTTTCTACTCTTCGGCTATATCAGGAGCACTGACCAGATGCCAAAAGATACACAGCCTCCTTTCCAATTTCCCGACTGACAACGCCAGTCTCTAGAGTCTAAAAGCTTAAAGCAAACCTAGGACTGGCAAAGATGGCCCAATGTGGGGCAAAAGCACCTGTCCCCAAGCCTGATGACCTGAGTTTGATCCCCAAAATCCACAGAGTGGAGGGAGACAGCCAAGCCCAGCAGGTTGTCTTCTGAGCTCCACATGCATGCCATGGGGCATTCACATACATGTACACACACACACACAGAGAGAGAGAGAGAGAGAGAGAGAGAGAGAGAGAAATAAAAATAAGTAGATAAATAAATGTGAAGTAAAAATAAAGTAAGTTAAAGAATGTCTCTCGTTTTCATTTTAAAGAAAATAAACACAATTTTCACTAATTTTTTTTTTCTTTTTCGAGACAGGGTCTCATAGCTTCCAGCTTGTTTCCGTAATGGAAGATGACCTTGAACTCCTGATCTTTCTGCCTCCACACACACACACACACACACACACACACACACACGTGACCTTGAACTCCTGATCTTTCTGCCTCTACACACAGGTGTCCGCAACCATGTCCACCCGCTCAACTGTCATCTTTAGAAGCATCTCATATCAGGAGCTGTATAATGCCTCTATGGCCGCTACACTTGATAACATTGTCAGCAATTGCTTGCGAAGGGCCATACTGGCTACCATACAGCGATGCCCACCTCCTGCTCCCGTACAAAGTAGTCTACACCTGAGTACCAAGCACAGGCCTCCAGCCATCCCGCCCACAGCTTTCTCCTGCCCAGAGGGCAAGGCCAGAAGGCTGAGCCCCTCTGTTAGCTCCAGGCACATACTTCATGGACTTTCAGTCCACATGAGCTTTCTTCTCAGTTACATGGGAACAAGACTGGGAGACTACCGGGCTTGGATCCTCTCTGAAACTCATGCTTTCTTCTCCCAAGGAGGGAAGGTAGGGACACTACAGTCAGACTCACTTCCTGTTCCCTGCCACTCAAGTCTCAGTTTTCCCATCTGGAGAATGGGACATAGCAATATTCACGTCTCAGGACTGTGGGTGGATGGTAGCGAATGCCCCTAAGATGCGTGTCTCGGCCGTGCCACCCAGGCCTCTTGCACTACTCAGCTGCTGAGCATAGACATGGGTGAGACTATATTCCCTAAACTTTCCTGGTGATGCGTTCCAGATCATGAGAAACTACGTTTGATGAATCAAGAGATCCCAGGCCTATCTCTGCCTGATGTGGAATACAGTTTAGACAGCAAGGTATACCCACCGCTAGCCCTCCACAAGCCATGGCTGCAGTGAGCACGGTAGTTCAGGGAGCAATGAAAGGGGGAGAGTCACTGTGCTGTCACGCTTTCAATCTCCCCTGCTGCCCAGTGACTCAGGTAACCCCTAGGCTTCAAATGGAGGAACTGAGCCTGAGGGAATAACGCACCAATGCATGGGCGTTCACTGACGTGTGCTTTGCTCTTTAACCAGGAATCTCAGCTGACTTCCTTTTCTTTTCTGTTACCCTAAAGGGACAAATACTTACCTTCGGAAGTCAGGAGCAGTGAAGGTAATTTCTTGATGTGCTGCAGAAGGAAGGCAGCCAGTCCATTTGCCTTCACTGTGGCAAGATCAAGCAGCCTTCTTGCCTACAGACCAAGAAAAGAAAAGGCCATTACCACTTTTTTCAAGAATACTGATGGAGGGGGAGGAGGCGTGTGGGAAGGTTTCTATTAAAAGTTAGACATCAGAAGACCTCCGAATGCTCTTAAATCCAAAACCTTTTGAGTGCCGACATGATGTCACAAATGGAAAATTGAAGCGTTGTGGAAAAGGGCCTTCAGGCCACATCTCTATGAAATATAATTACCTTCTGTGCTTAGACATGGGTCAAACTGCCAACGTATTCATTGTTTATAAAAATATTCTAAAATCCCAAAAATATCCGAAACACTTCTGGTATCAAGCATTTAAGACAAAAGAAACTTCACCAATGATACAATTTTATACAAGGTCCTCTTCTATCATAATGAGAGCCCAGAAGAACAACAGCAGCACAGCCTGCATTCAGCAGACAAAGATATGTAGTCAAGGTTGGTGAAACATGCACACAGGCAGCCTGGCTCCTTCCCAAAACCCACTGAAATAATGAAGAGCTAAAAACAAAATAAAACAAGACCAAATAAATAAATGCATAAGCCCACCAACCTACAAAATCAGAAAATGATTCTGGATGCTGTAGAGCACCTGGAAGGCAGGGCCTCACCAAGTCCTTGGGCCTGAATGTTTGAGCTCTCTCTCTGCACAGAACCCACTCCTCCAACCTCAGCTGCCCCTGAGTTTGGGGCCTGCACACCCAACTGCCCATTTGTCTCCTCCACTTACCCGTGTCATAATTGCACACATACACTGGCACACATGCTAGGCACGTATGTCCGGATCACAGCCTTCCCCATCCCTGCTCAAGTCTCCGCCATCCTCCTAGCTTTCCAGCCCAATGTTTGAAGTCACCTTGAAGGACCTTCTCTGACTTCCATCAGCACATCCTGCGACCTCCACCTTCAAAGGACCGGAATCAGGTCGTTCAACAGAAACAGGGCCCGTGGCATACCAGGAAGTTATGTGTGTGCAATGGAGCCTTCAGACACCCACACTCTTCAGTGACAGTAGGCGCACTCAAGCTTAGCCACAGTTCATACTTAACCACAACATCCAAGATATTGCCATTTCAACACATCATCAATGTAAAAAAACAAAAGAATAGTTAAGAGTGTTGCTTTTCTTTTAAGTCTTCCACAGCTTCAACATTTCGACTCATGGTGTGGCCCAGCTGTGTGGCAGTGCTCAGCAGCCACCCAGAAGCTGATGTCCCCAAGCTACTGAGCCCTGCACATGTGGCCCTACTGCTGTCCTGCTCCGAGACATGCTGTGGCTCACCTGAAAAACCTACATAGCTGCCTATGACTGCTCTGCCCCTGCCTGCAGCCCATCCCCAGCGCCACAGCCAGGGTTCAAATGAACTCGTACAAAATGAATGCCAAGGTTACCTTACCACTACCCAAAGCACTCACCCTCCTTATTCCCAGGCCTCTACAAACAGACCTTTACCCCAGATAGAAGGCTTTCTATTTGAGGAACTCAGTAAACCCAGGAGGAAAGGTCTAGGGATAGAAACTGCCTAGACTGTCTACTGTAGAAGTCACAGCAGGAGGCTTCACCTGCTTGCTGGGTGAGTTTCAAAAATCTGTCATTTTAATAAGAAGACAGACAGTCAAGGTTTGCCCATACCCAGAGAAAGTGTCAAATATGGGAGGTCAGAGCCACATTAGTGAGGAAGGGAAAACAGCTCAAAGGTTCAAAGGTTTATGCAGGGAATGAACAATGTCACACAGCGGTAGAGCAATTGCTTAGCCTGTGCAAAGCTCTTGGTTTCATCCCTAACACAGAAATGTGTGTAGCATGAATAAAAACAATCCCACCAACCGTACAAAGACCCAACTATTAATATCATTATGTCTGCATAAAAGATTACATCCCTAAAACAAGAACAAGACACTGTAATAAGGGAACAGTAAAAAGAGCCCCACACACTGCAAATGAGAAGATGGGAACTCGAGAGTCTGCAGTTGATAGTACCATGCAGAAAACAGCACAGAGTTGGCTGTGGTGTCTTATGCCTGTAATCCCAGTACTTGGGCAACTAAAGAATGAGGATTGCCCCAAATTTGAGGCCAACCTGTGCTATGTAAGAGTTCCAGGCCAGCCTGGGCTATAGTGTAAGATCCTTTCTCAAAAATAACAGAAAAAAAAACCCACAGCAATGAAAAACAGAAGAAAACTGGAGGATTCATCTAGAAATCCCAGCATTCAAGGAGCTGCAGTTGCATAAAAAGAGAAGAAAAGCTCAGGTAAGGTGTCCCCATCATGATCTCCACCTCTTTGCTTGTATCTCACTCCTCCCACTCTTCAACTGGACTTTGGGAACTCAGCCCAGTGCTTCACTGTGAGTCTCTGCCTCTGTTTCCATCAGCTGGTGGAAGAAGGTTCTATGGTGATATTTAGGGTATTCATCAGTCTGACTACAGGGCAAGGCCAGTTCTGACACCCTCTCCTCTATCGCTTAGGGTCTTAGCTGGAGTCATCCTTGTGAATTCCTGGGAATTTCTCTAGTTCCAGGTTTCTTGCTACACCCATAATGGCTCCCTCAATCAAAATATCTCTTTCCTTGCTCTCATATCTCTGTCCTTCTTCCATCTCTACTATCCCGTTCCCTCAAGTTCTCCTTGCCCTTCCCCTTCTCCTCTCTTCTCCCCTCTGCCCTCTCTTCTCTCTCGACCCCCATGTTTCCAATTTTGTCAGGCGATCTTGTCTATTTCCCCCTTCCAGGTGGATCTACGTATGTTTTTCTTAGGGTTCACCTTGTTACTTAGCTTCTCGAGGATCGTGAACTATAGGCTCGTTATCCTTTGCTTTCCAGCTAGTATCCACTTATGAGAGAGTACATACCATGTTCATCTTTCTAGGTCTAGCTACCTCACTCAGGATGGTTTTTTCTAGTTCCATTCATTTGTATGCAAATTTCAAGGTGTCATTGTTTTTTTTTACCACTGAGTAGTACTCTAATGTGTAAATGTGTCACATTTTCTTTATCCATTCTTCGGTTGAGAGGCATCTAGGTTGTTTCCAGGTTCTGGCTATTACAAATAATGCTGCTATGAACATAGTTGAACAAATGTTCTTGTAGTATGATTTAGCTTCTCTTGGGTATATGCCCAAGAGTGGTATTGCTGGGTCCTAAGGTAGGTTGATTCCTAATTTTCTGAAAAACCACCATACTGATTTCCAAAGTGCTTGTACAAGTTTGCATTCCACCAGCAATGGATGAGTGTTCCCTTTACTCCACATCTTCTCCAGCATAAGCTATCATTGGTGTTTTTTTTTTTATCTAACTTGTGTAAGATGTTATCTCAGAGTTGTTTTGATTTGCATTTCCATGATGGCTAAGGATGTTGAGCATTTTCTTAAGTGTCTTTCGGCCATTTGAGATTTTTCTGTTGAGAACTCCCTGTTTAGTTCTGTACCCCATTTTTAATTGGGTTGTTTGGAATTTTGATATCAAATTTCTTGAATTCTTTATGTATTTTGGAGATCAGTCCTCTGTCTAATGTGGGGTTGGTGAAGATCTTTTCCCATTCAGTAAGCTGCCTTTTTGTCTTATTGACTGTGTCTTTTGCTTTACAGAAGCTTCTAAATTTCAGAAGGTCCCATGTATTTATTGTTGCTCTCAGTGTCTGTGCTACTGACATATATATATTTAGGAAGTTACATATATTTAGGAAGTGGTCTGCTGTGCTCATGTATTGAAGGCTACTTTCCACTTTCTATTCTATCAGGTTCAGTGTGGGTGGATTTATATTGAGGTCTTTGATCCATTTGGACTTGAGTTTTGTGCATGGGGATAGATATGGATCTATTTTCATTCTTCTATATATTGACATCCAGTTATGCCAGCACCATTTGTTAAAGATGCTTTCTTTTTCCATTGTATAATTTTAGCTTCTTTGTCAAAAATTGGGTTCATAGGTGTGTAGATTAATATACAGGTCTTTGAATCAATTCCATTCTGTTTTTATGCCAATACCAAGCTATTTTCATTACTGTAGCTCTAAAATAGAGCTTGATGTCAGGGATGGTGATGCCTCTGAGCTCACCAACTCTAGCCGGACTGGGAAGGAGCAAGCATAGATCCAAACTAGTCCCTCTGGATGTGGGTGACAGTTGCATGGCTGGGCAGACTGCAGGGCCACTGGCAGTGGCACCAGGATTCATCTCTACTGCTTGTACTGGCTTTTTGGGACTAGTTTAAGAAAGAGAAAATGCTCTCTGAAGTTTTCATGACAGCACTAAACAGGGAAGATAATGAAGGAATGCCATCAAAATTCCAAAGGAAAAGGATGGCCAGAATGTTTGTTTGCTTGCGTGCTGGGGATTAAACCTGGGGTGCCACACGGTAACTTTCTTCTACTCAGGCGTAGCTCCCGAGCTCTTTTAACTCTGAGACAGGGTCTCACCAAATTGACCGGCCCATCCTTAAACCGGCTCACTCTGCAGCGCACACAGTCCTTATAGAGGCTCCTCTCCTGCCAGCCTCCCAAGTCGCTGGGATTACAGAGGTGCCACTAGGGACTTCATCCCTAGTCGTGCCGTCAATCAACTATGAGGGAAGCTTTAGACACTCGGAAAGTTCTATTTCTAAACAGTCTGTTAGAAAAAAACAGACTAGGGGATATATCATCTGCCAAAATGGAGGAAACCAGCCGATGGCAGCTGAGGACAATGGTGTCATCAACAGTCATGCCAACTTGTTCCTGGAAGTCAGAATGGGCTATAATGAGCTCAGAGCAGACTGGGCAGCACAGCCCCCTTCCTCGGACCACATTCCTGGGATCCTTCCCACATGCCTCCTACCTCCTCTACCAGATACTCCAGCTTGAACGAGCCCAGGATTAATGTACTCACCAATGACCTTGTCACTGACCTACTAGAGGGTTCCTAGTAGACAACCAAGGAAGCAGAGGCCAGGCTGCATCCAAAGACCCTGGTAAGTTACTCTGACCTGGGAGCCTTCATCTAAGAAGAAAAGGCAATGTTGCTGTTTCTTGGCATAGTATGTGTAGCTTGCCACTTCATTTTTTAAAATAAAACAGACAGTTCGTAAATTTCTAACAAAAGACACGGAAACTGAAAAAATAGCAAAGGGATGATTAACAGACAAATCAGATCATTGATTGCCTCTACTGGTTGCACCTGAAGGGCAAGGTCCCAATAAACATGCAGCTTCTTCATCTGGATGTAGACATATGAAATGTGCTATGTTGTAGGTATGGCACATTTCCCAATTTGCAACTGTGGAAGTAGGTACTGTGACAGGAGCAAGCAAGTTATAGCTCAGTCTCTCACCTCAGCACCGTTGGCTTTAGCATCTGCATGAATCATGCAGACAGCTGGTATCACAGTTGGCATTGCCAGCCTGAGGTTCCCCAACAACTGTTATCCCCAGCTGAGCAAAATTCCAGAACACTTCCACATCTTCTGACACAAAGGGAAGTGTGCACTCCCTGGAGAGAGACAGGCCTGGGCTCCTTTTCTAGTTAGCCCTTTGCGAACGGGCAACTTGTTCTTCGTTCTCAACAAACACACTTTCCGTCGCCGGGAGGATGGACCAGGGCAGGGCTTAAGTGGACCGCTAGAAAGAAGGCTGGTCCTGTGCCTGGTGCACACTCTCTCTGCACCTGCTCGGGGAAACGGCATTCTGCTTTATTCCACAACGCGTTTTCCATTCTCAACCTTCAACTGGTGATAGCCACCTCTCTAAAGAAATGAAGGGGTTAATGCTAGACACATGTTAGCTGGAAATACCGTGTTACCTACACTGAGTCAGAAATTGAGCTACGGAGGAAAAGAAAGCCAGAGATCCAGGAATGGCAGCGCTGAAGGGAACTAAGGAAAAGTGGATGATAAGCATTTAACTTCAGGCCGTGGGATCCTCTTTGCTGCCTCCAAATCCTCAGATCTGCTATTCATTGTTCTTTCCACTGTCACATCCCTCAGCCAACTCCCTCATCCTCAGTGTTGGCTTTTGGGGTCCACTAAGTCCTTCCTTCCTTTCTTTTGACACAGGATCTAAACATGTAGACTTAGCTGGCCTGAAACTCACTAAGGGCTGGGATCCAAGGTGGCTGGCCCCACTTACTTCTTTCTTGGAATGGAGTCTTTGCTCATTGAAATCCTGCCTTTCTCCTGTTTAGTAGGTTAAAGGTCCCTTTGTCCTGCTGCATCCCATGGATTTAGGTAAGACCATATGCTCCTTTCTGTTTCTCTCTGGGTATCTATAGGCATCCATGGATCGCTTCTTTGGTCTGTAAGTTTTCCCATTTTCTTTTCTTGCATAGTCTCCATGCTTTGGGTATTCCTGCTCCCATCTCCACTGGGGCCTAAGATCTGGTGGTATTCTTTAAACCCTGAGCACTAGGTCAAATCTGGTAACTTCTACATGAACTGATTCTGTCCCCACAACCGGTCACAGGAGGCACCAAGGAAGGACAAGAAATAGGTGCTTTTGAATGCTAACGAAAGGCACACTGGGGCATGCCTTCAGGCCCTGTGCGCAGTAGTGAGAAGGCCCAGGTCATGTGTGTTTTGTGAAGATTTAGCCACCTTGAGCAGCTTGAAAGCGACACCGGAAACAGAGACACTTGCTTCATCCACCTCAGCCTTCGTTTAGCCAAACTCACCTGAAGTCCAGCTCGCCAGTCCTCGCACTGAAATGTAGCCCTAATAACTTAACAAGTGCTGACCAAACACCTATCACCTGCAATGCTCTAACACAGCCAGGCATGCGGTAAGCCTCATAGATTCCAGCTGAATGAATGGGTCAAGGCCAGAGTCCACCCCTCACCTTTCCTTCACTACTATAGACTTCTCAAAACTGTAGAGTATTTCTATTTTCATGCTTCCCAGGCAGCCTGAAGACCACCACTTACAGGATAATAGACGTTTCAGAAATACTCAGCGATACTTTGCTGCCCTTGTGGTTTCTATTGAATCGTTGCCTTTTGGGGGCAGTTATCTCCAGTTCTAATGCAATTTCATATCTAAAATCCTAGGTGTGCCTTTAAACGATATTGGCACACAGAGACCTATACTATTAAATTTAGATTTAGCATAATGCGGAATTATTCTCCGTTGAGCTGTTGCTTTGAAGCAGATAGCAAATAAAAGTCTGCAAGTACAGAGAGCCACTCCGCAGAAATGACAGCAGTCAGGGACAATGGGCTTCCCAGACACGTCTCTAATTGATGCACGGGATTAACTCAGTGAGTTTGCCCTGAACCCCTGTGCATCCCTGAGGTTAAGAGTGTCCTGCGGATGAGGAGACGGAGATGGGAGAAATGAAGGGTAGAGGCTAAGGCTGGGGCAGAGTGAAAGGCCCCAGCACTGCCAACAAGAAGAAGAAAAAAGGAAAAAAGTGGGAGGAGTAGCTAGAGAGCTTCTGTATGGAACCATCCAGTCACACAATGATGCTCTTGAACTTGTATCATTCTGGCTGCTGAATCCAAGCCCTGCACTGCCATGCCACAACTACCCCCACCAAAACTGACATGCTGGCACAACCAAGAGCGACTTTGACCCGCCTGGCCAACTCTGCATGGCAGATCCCACCAACCGTGCTATTTCGTGGGCTTGAATGCACAAGAGCAATGGTCTTGGTGACTGAGCAGCATGCTCCTGCGGGTTCTGCTGGCACAGGCCACGGCTTACCCTCTGCGATGACGTGAAGATTGGCAGCCTGATCTCGTCACATTCGTACTGACTCAGGAATCCCCTCTCCCTTGCCAGCTCCAGCGCGGCTTCTATGTGGTTGTAGAGTTCCCTGACAATGGCTGGCCGGTGACTCTGCAGGTCTCTGGTGGGATGAAGGGAGTGAGTGTCCCAGCTGTCATGCAGTTCAAGGGTGTGACTGTTGGCCTGGGCCTCCTGGATAGCTTCAAGAAGCTTCTGACAGCCCCAATCACCCTTGTTCCAGACTGTGTCCAGTAGGCGCCTGGCAGAATGGGAGAGAGGTTGGCCAGGGAGACGGAGACCCTCATAGTCCTCCCAGGACAGCACATCCCAGGACAGCAACCAGTCCAAGATGCTCTCAAAGCCCTCCAAGGACCCCGAGACCAACAGTGCCACCAGCTGGCTCCTCCGTGCCTGGAAGTCTTCCTGTGAGCACATGTCACAGCCTGTAAGAGAGCAGGGAAGGTCAGAGGTCAGGAGTCAGGCTAGGGTGCTCAGAGGTCAGGAAACGGTTTCTTGAGAAGTCAAGTTGTAGAGGTCAGAGGCCAGGGAATGACTTCTCTAGAAGCCAGGCTATTAGGCAGCGACCTACCTCAAGTTCAAGTGGGCTACAGGTGTACTTGGACATTCTCCAGTCTTAAGTTCCCCCAAGGTGAGGCCCCAGGATATCAAGAAACTAGCTGCAGGTCCCATGAGTTTAAAGCAGCCAGACATGGGAGCCCTTGGTTACCATAACCATGCTTGCTCTCTCCACCTTAGTAAGTTTCACAAAGCAGAGCTGGCAGGAGAAGTAGCCCCCTGCGGATCAGCTCCCTTCTATGCAGGCCACACTCAGTCCTACAGCTTTGGAACCACTGGATCAGTCAAGTGCATCCTAAGGGCCTTAACGAAATATTTCATTTCCCACTCTCAGCTTCTAGAAAGCGGGGGTTGTGGCCAGCCCCATCTACAGAGAGGGAAACTGAGGCACGCTGGCAAGGGATTTTGTAGTATTTGTCATAGCTGGGAAAGACAGGGCTGGGACTGGAACCCAAGCAGTGGGTCTCTTCCTGGTGCAAACCTTTTTCTCTTACCTTTGGTATCCCTACAGGTCCCCAGCCCTGCCGACTGCACATAACCCATTACGGCTCCATGGGCAGAGCTGGGGTTGGCTGCAAAGATGCCGAGTCAGGTGCAAAGGGGTGTCTGGTGAAATGGGGTATCTTGAAGCCTACTGGTATGCTACCCCGACAACAACACACACGCATGCACACACACACATGCACGCGCGCACACACACATACACACACACACACACACACACCTCTAAGGCCCTTGCTCCCTGCTGTGCACTCAGCAGCACACACTATTTGCTGCCTTGCTATCGCTCTTCTCAGGAGTTCTCAGGAGCTGGTACTGAGTTCAGCCTTCAGTCCCAAGTGCTGGGGCTCTGCGAGGAAGGGACCACCAGGAGCTCCGAGCACAGAGATCGCTGAACGGCAGAGAAAAATCAGAAAGCTTCAGTGGGTCGATTTGTCATTGCCACTGTCCAAGATAAGGGCTGGGGCAGTGCCCAGAGAGAAAACGAAAGTGAAAGAGTACAGAAGAGGAGGAAGAGGAAGGAAGGCTTCCTTTCGCAATCCGGGACACTCTAAGACGCTCCTGGAGCGCAGAGGGGGCAGCTGGAAATGGTCTGGGGAGTCCCGGCCTTTTCTGTTAGATAGTGATTATCTCCACTCTATGGCAGGCTCCCACTGCAGGCTAGTCCTCCCTCATTCTGACACCCCAGAGCTTTGCCCAGCTCTGTGCTCGACAGAAGCCCTGGGGATGCTGACTCTAAGTGCACCCAGGGAAGCCTGGGGCAGGAATGCTATGGGTCTATCTTCACTCTCTAACTCAGCACCACATTACTAACGTGCAGCCCGGCAGCCTCCGGCTGGCCAGACAGGGAAAGTGAGATAGGGAAGCTACCTGAGCATCCAGCAGCTTAGGAGAGACGGGACCCCTACTATGGAGGCTACCGTTAGCCAGGAGCTGAGAGTTCTCACTGGCCAAGCAGATCAACTGTGTCCTGTGCTCAGTCCAAGCAGAGGAGCCGAGAACGGGGAGAGGGGAACAACAGCAAGGGGCAGTGTGATCTGTGACTAAGTCGTGGGGTGCCTCTCAACTGTGCAAACCACCCAGAGTTGGGGCACCAGCTATCCTGCCAGCCCTGCTCGGGTCCTGAGGAAAGAACCACTGACCCTTCCTACTCTGAGAACAGCACAGAGAGACCAGGGCAGCACTCTGGCCTGAGGCCCGAAGTGCAGCTGGGAAGTCTGGAGGGTCGTGAGGCTAACAGGGGATGCCTGGCTCACTTTACCCACAGGATACTGGGCAGAGCACATGAGTCAGAAGCCCAGAGACATTGCACAGGCAGTCCCCGATCCAGCCGACCCACCCTAGGGGAAATCCCAGAAGCTGAGCAGGAAGCCTGAGCTGGCGGGCCAGCACCCAGAACTTGCTGGTTCTTGGCAGTCCTGGCACACAGCCTGGGACATCTACACTGGCTTTCACTCAAAGACCCTGGGGATCAGAGATGTCTCCAACAAATGTGCTTGCCCAGAGAGAAACAACTGGGAGAGAGCAGAAGCTCTCTCCAGATATGCCAAGAGCCAGCCGGATGCCCGAACCATACACGCCCAAACAATGACGTCAACCATGTGGACACAGGCAGGGTGAGGCAGGAAAGCCTGTGGCTTGGTGCTCTGCCTCCCACCTGCAGTTGGAAAGTCCCATCTTGCCAGTCTCCTGCAGACCACAAAGCAAGGCATAGCCCTGAAGGCCAATTCTGCCAGTCCCCTGCCTCTGAGTAGGCCATCTTCCCATCTACTCTTAAGCAGTTGGAAAAGATCCAAACCCGGGTTTGCTACTGTTCTCCTGACAGGCTGTTTATCTTAGTTTATCTTCGTTAGTTTATCTCGTTCAGCTAAAATTGGAAGAGGAAAGCAAAAGGGTCATCGCTCTTGTCACCACTTTTAAGCTGGCCCTAGAATCCTGTTCCTGCACCTTCTTCCTACCCAGTCAGACTCACCCTCTCCAGGTTAAACAGGCTGCTCTGTCTGCCCTGCCTTGTCTTCGCTATCCAGCTGGTGCCACCTTAGAATGACTCTTAGGCTCTGAAAGATGAACTCAAACAAAGGGGGCACCTCCTCACTGAAACAGAGGGTCAAGGGCATCTACGAAGGCCTCTCTCATCCCGACCCCCCACCCTCCTGCCACATACACATGCCTAGCACCTCCTTCCTTCCCAGGATCATGGGGAGCCTGGTTTTCCTGAAGTTCTTTGAGGGCTGAGCTCTCCTTGAAGTGCCCCCAGGCCTCTGCAGATAGGAGAGGAAGGGAGGTACCCAGAGGAGTGCAGAATACAGCTTCTGAGCTGTCCAGTCCTGGCTGGCCAGGCTTTCCCTGGGACACTAACCTCACCCTCCCTCGCTCTCTGGCCCTCTGAGTTGCTCCCCAGGAGACCAGTTCCCATCATAGAACGGACTAATTTGTCCTTTATTTCTACCCTCCCTCGTGCGGGCCTGAATGGCCATCCCCAAGTCCTGCCTGTCTCCTTCTCCCCCTCCCACACCCACAACCAAGGAGAATACAAACCCTGACTTCCAGCTCTTGGCCTTCTGTTCTTGGCCTCCCTTTCTGTCAATGGCATTTGCACTACCTGTTCACTCTCCTCCTGGGAGCACTCCTTTCAAGGCCGTGAGGAATATTTCTGATCTTCCTCCCAGGGTACGAGCTGCTCTTTCTAACCATTCCACCTCCAAGGCCAGCAGCCCCTCCCCAGATCTGAATCACTGCCACTTCTCTGAGTCACTCTCTCCCTGCATAAGCCCACCTCCCCTCAGGCTTACTTCCCAACTGTGTGCTGGTGGTGCCTGAAATCCACTGCCAGCTCGGGACACCATTCAACATCACGTGGTGCCCACCAGCATCTCCAAACAGACAAAAGCCATCGCGAGGCCTTCCTTGGAACAGCTCCTCGCTCAAGTGAAAGTGGCCACACACTCCAGAGTCATCCTTGGATGACTCTGCCACCCTCGAGCACCACAGACTATCCACCCAACCTTCCACAGACCCCACATCTGAAAGCCACAGGTTCTCCACCTCTCTATATACCATGATGTAAGCCCTAAAGCCTCCTCATGGTTCCCTCATCTGCCGTGACCGACCCCCCCTCGGTAGGCCAATCTCAGCCTTACAACTAGCCGAACCTACCAGACCCTAAGTCAGAGCTGAGGCCTTATCTGTTCACAGCCCCGCCCACCAGTGGCTCTCACCAAAGTCAAAGCGAAAGCCAAAAGCCTTTATAGCAACCTCAAGCCCAATACAAGAGACTTCAACTCCTGCCCTCTTCCTTCTAGCCCCCAACTGCTCCTTCCTTCCCACCCTGCTCTAGCCCCTTGCCTGCCTCCTCATTCTCAGAACAGGGGGAGCCTATCCGGTCTGCCATGCTCCTGCCTCTGCATAAGCTTTTTGCTCACAGGGCACTCTGTCCCACAGATAGTCACATGACTTGCTACATGCCTCCTAAAGACTTTGTTCAGTGTTCACTGTCTCAGAGGGGTCTATATAGGCTATATGAAACTGTGGTCCCCAAGCCGTGTCCCAGCTTTTTCTCCCCCAGTCCTTCCTGTTATCTTAGCATAACACTGCTGGAGCTCCTCTCTAGACCCTGTGCATAGAGATGGGGTTTGGATGAATGAGAATCTGCATATTCCACACAGCTTGGGGAGGTAGCCCCGTGGAACCAGAGAGTAGCCATTGCAAGGCGCAGACTTTAATTAAATGGGCATAGAAGCCACCTTGCTAGTAGTAAGAACCTGTTTACTGGGCCACACCGAGTGTTGACCTGGGTGAGAGGGGCAAGATGGAGCCAGTGCCAGTGTGGTGCTGCCCGTGGAGGCCAACTGACATGGAATGGCCAAGAGAGCAGGAGCTCCAATCACCTCATAACAGACTGACCAGAAGAGAGGCAACTGAGCTGTCACTTTGGTCTTTTCGCCAAGAGGGCAGAGGGGGCTGATAGAGCCAGCTTTTCCCCTACAGAACATCAACCCTGGGGGAGATCATACCCCGCAGGAAAGCTAACACTCCTGTTCCAAGCCAGGACCCTGCAGGCTCTGAGAGAGACACGGAAATCAGCTACCGACCTACCCAGAGGCTTGGGAGCTAGCTTGTCCAGACATAGACGGCACCAATGGCTTGGGAAGCAAAGGAGAGGACCAAGCCTGAAGGCTGAGTGCTGGGCTGGCATTGGGCAGAAATAGAGTTTGACCCCAGCTCCCACCTTCACAAATGAGTAAGGACAGGCAGGAGACAATGGCAAGGACCACGGAGCAGCAGCTGGGGTTAGAAAGAAGGCTAAAGACAGAGAAACTGAGGCACACAGAGAAGGGACAACTGGGCCAGGAATAGCTCCTGTTGTGACCCAAAGCAAGATTTCCTCCTTCTAGGTGAGGTCCTCACCTGCAAGTTTTCCCTCCACTGGCCCAGTCACCTCCAAATCACAGCCTCCCCTCAGACTTCAAAGGACCTTGGGGGATTCGATGTGCTTCCCATATCCTAGACCTCTTCATCCCCAGTGACCACAGTCTGCCCCTTGAGACCCCCTTTCCTTCTACAGCCTATCTACTCTGCTGATGCTTCCAGGGGAAACAGGGTGCCTTCCAGAAGCGCAGCCAGGCCAGCTCCAGAGGCAGTGACCAGCGTTCCGAGGATGGGACGTTAGGCGCTCGTGGTCTCCACCACAGCAAGTGCAGTCGCCCGGAGCCCTCAGTCTGCCCCAGAAAACCCTCTTTCCACACACCCACCCACCCCCAAGCACCCGCAGACCACAGAACCAGCAGGCCAGCACTCACCGCCAGCTGCAGCGCGGGGTTCCTCCGCCGGGGAGGCTCCTGGACTCCCTCAGTGATCTCGCCCCGCCCGTCGCCCCTCCCACTTAGCTGGAGACCCCGCCCACTCTGGCGGACCACACCCCTCCTGATTTCCCTCCAGGGATCGGTGAGACCGGTCCTGCGAAAGAAGAGGCCTGCCTGCGGCGCTGTGAGTCCTGCCTTTATGTGGCCCACTTTCTGGGCCACCCTCCAATCAGGAGGGAACCTTAGAGTTCCGGGAACAAGAGCTAGGAAAGCCTTCGCTGCCAGCAGGAACCGATGCCCCCCTCCCAGGAGTTGTAAACCCTTAGCCACAGTCTTAATGGCTGCATTCCCAGATGACTGTGCTGGTGGAGACTTGTTAGGACATTTAAAGTTACTCTTTCCCCCTTGGCTGTCGGTCCCACGCAAGCTGAGGAGAGAAGTCACAGGGTGCCTCCCACACAGCCCCCGAGCCTGGGCGCTACCACCGTCCCAATCAGCATTCAATTGCACTGTGATGTTTCTATTGCATTCATTCGATTTTGTAATTTCCTATTCTTAATGTTATTTTTTTAAACGCTTGAATGTGAAGCCTCAAAAATAAATAAAGAGAATAATTGACATTGACACAGGAGGTTTGTGTATAAAATGAGGACATGATGCCCCAAGCTGTGGTTTTATTGTCGATAGGAAGAAAAGTACAACCAGAGGCATCTGGAAGAGTTCAGAGCAGGGTGAGAAATTAGTAGCTTGAACATGGCCAGCAGATGGGGCCTGGGTCATTGGGGGCTGGGGCTGGGTGGAGCAAGAGAGGAAGAGAAAGAGACAACCAAGAGAGGAGGGACCAAGAGAGGAGGGACCAAGAGAGGAAGACAAAAGAGGATGAGCCAAGAGAGGACATGGCCTAAATGGCAAGGTTACACAGGAATGAGAAGTTGGGGGAGGGAAGCCCAGGAGCTGGAGAAGTTTAGGGTAGAGGGTGGGGTAAGGAGACCTACAGATACCGAGTGAGTCTGGAGGCCAGCATGGTCTCTGGTAGTTAGAGCAGATAGCCAGCCATTTGTCCGGAGTTTTTTTTTTTTTTTTAAACCTGACAGTGTGTGCTGGCCTGTGCTCACAGTAGCTCCCTTACCCCCCCAACCCCCACCCCCGCAGAGTACTGTTCCTGTCCCTAATTTCTGCATGAAGAAAGTGAAACACAGGGCAGTTCACTGGCCTGTCCACACAGTGAAAGTGCCCGCAGGATGTGTCTCAGGAAGGCTCTCTGGCCTGTCCACACAGTGAAAGTGCCCGCAGGATGTGTCTCAGGAAGTTCACTGGCCTGTCCATACAGTGAAAGTGTCCTCAGGATTTGTCCCAGGCCTCAAGTACCAAAGACTGTGCGCTAACCACTACTTTACACTGTTTCCAAATAAGTGCCCGGCAGCTGAGGTGGCATCTGCTTCATTGAAAGAGGTGGCCATCACTAGGGAGAGGTCCCAGTGGTGTTCTGTGCTGTCTATGGGGCATTCAACATGATACTGATTGAAGCCTGTGCAGGCAGCAATAGCAAAACTTCTTTGAATGGGGAATGGTTGTGGGGTTTCTTTTTTTGCAATTTTTTAAATTTAAAATGTTTACATCTATTCATTGACTTATTGTCTGTGAGTATTTTGTATGGTGCACATATGTGTGACACATGAGTGGAGATCACAGGACCTTGCAGGAGTCCAGTTCTCTCGTTTCACCATGTGGGTCCCTGAGGACCAAATTCAGGTTGTCGGACTTGGCAGCAAGCACTTCTAGCCACAGAGCCATTGCATCTGCCTCACCGTTTCTTACATTGTTTGGAGATGGCGTACAGTCTAGCCTGGGTGGACCAGAAGGTGCTAAAGCTGAGGATGAGTTTGAAGACCCAATCCTCCATCTTCCACCTCTGCGTTGGCTTTCCTGAGCTGTCACCCATGCTGGAGTGGGCTTTGGTGATGCAGCTGTCTGTGGGCCATTTCTGCTGCTATAAGCAGCCACATAAATTTACTGGTTCATTAAATTGAATTTTGGTGGTATCCTTACTTTCTGTCATTGATTCTCTGAGTAAGGAGTGTAGCATGAGTTCTAATTAGTCTTAATAATAAAAACTCAGAGTCAGTTATCAGGGGATGAAAGTGGGAGGATCAGAGAAGTGGAACAGCCGGCCACCAGAGAGTTCTTACCTCTACCAATGCTCAGGCCAAAGGGGTGATCCTGTCTTCGGATGCCTCCTCAGACTGCATTGAGTTCCTGTCTCCTCCCACCTTATATTTCTCTCTCTGTCCAGCCATATGACTCCTGTCTCTACCTCCCTAGTGCTGGAATTAAAGGCGTGTGATCCCAAATGTTGGGATCACCTTTGTGTGAGCTCTGTTTCCCTTTTAGACTGGATTAATTTCCTGTAGCCCAGGGTAGTCTTGAACTAACAGGAATTCATCTGTCCCCGAGTTCTGGGATTGAAGGTGTGTGCCACCACGGTCTGACCTCTAGTGGCTTAGCTCTGCACTCTGATCTTCAGGTAGGCTTTATTTGTTAAAACAAAAATATCACTGCAGAGGAGATGTTTGTTCACATTTCCCCCAAATAGCGTCACACAAGGAAAGCCACCATGGCTACCTGAGCCCAGATCTTCATCACTGATCTAGGTTAGGCAGGCACTGCTGACCGTTCTCCGTATTGCCAGCAGCATTTCCTTCATGGAGCAGCCCTAGTGAGTCTCCTTCAAAAAAAAAAATCAAATCATGCCGATTTTCAAATGAGGGTGCTTATTGCATTAAAGTAACTGCCAACATGTCTGGTGTCTCATAACCAGTCTGTGACGGCTAATGTTGGGCGTCAACTTGACTGAACTACAATCATCCAGAAAATGGACAAAGCAGAGTTCTGGGGGTCTTTGACGGAGTTTACAGAGAAGTCTGGCGAATAGAGTGGGAAAGACCTACCCTAATTAGGGCCAGTATCACCTACTAGGGTAGAACCATAGCAGCCAGATGATCACTGGAGATGGGTCCTTCGTGGTCTCTTGCTCTGACTCGCACTCTTAAGGTAAAGAAACAGAGGTTCCCAGAGGCCACTGGCTTCCTACGGTGGGCCAACTACCCACAGCAGGCACCACTGATCAAGTCCCTACCCTTCTCTGCCCCTTTAACGGGGTCCTTACCGGTCCCTCAGTGGCCACAGCCTACAGTCCCCCATGGGAGTCTCCTTGTGCTCTAAGCTGTGAGGAGCAGCCGAACGCATGTCATACACCATCAGCCTAGCTGGCTTTCTATCCCAGATCATGTTCCTTGCATGTCCTCCTCTCCTACCCGACTGAGGGTTCTGGAGGATCAAAGCCCCCAGTGGTCATTGCTCACCTCTGCCTTTGGCACAGGCATGACCCAAGCTTCGTTGAAAGATGGACAAGTTCGGCCAGGCACATGCCACTGAGCTACCTCAAACTGGAGGGCTCAGTATATCTGGGTGTCCCGGGCCTCTGTCCTCACTCCATTCCTACCTCAGAATGAGAGCCAGCATCCTGACAGCACCCCACCTCCCGGACTAAGTCATCCCTGAGCTCATTAGTGAACTGGGAAGGTTTTGCTGACCAGATGTGACCTGGTCTGAATGTCTGAATTCTCCTCAGTTTTACACAGTGAAATCCTAACCCCTGAGGGCTTGGGAGGTCAGACCCTCAAGAATGGATTAGTGCCCCTATGAAGCAGACCCAGGGATTCCCATGATGGCAAGATAGTCATGAGGTACAGCCATCTGCCATGAACCCTCTGCAGACACCCAATCTGCAGGAGTCCTGACCTTAGACTCACCAGCCTCTAGAACCATAAGAAATAAACTTAAATAAGCCAGATGGTCTGTGGTATTTTGTTATAGCAACAGGGATTGGTATGGGAAGTCCTTCTGTATATGTGTTGCTTTTATTGGTTAATGAATAAAGCTGTTTTGGCCAGTGGCTTAGCAGAATAGAACAAGGTGGGAATTCCAAGCAGATAGAGGAGGAAAGAAGACAGAGTCATTGAGAAGCCATGTAGACACTATGGGAGACAGACGCCTCCGCAGAAACCTGCCAAAACTTTGCCAGTAAACCACTACCTCATGGTGAGGCGTAGATTAATGGAGATGGGTTAGTTTAGAATAGGAGAGTTAGCTAGAAATACACTTAAGCTATTGGCCAAACAGTATTGCAAAAAATATAGTTTTTGTGTGATTCAGGTCTGAGAGGCCAGGAACGAACACCCTCCATCTACAAGGGTTAGCCTAAGAACATCAGACACCAAATAGAAGACAGCTCTCCCACCCACATTCCCCCACTGACTCCTTGATGAGAGCCTCCTTCTTCATTGTCCCATAATGCTTCTGGAACCAACTCTGTTTACAAATCCCATTTTGGCAAAGTAAATATTCCACCACCCAACAGAGTGTTTGATTAAAAAAAAAATAGTTCCTTGCCAGGCATGATAGTGCACTTAATCCTAGCCCTTAGGAGGCAGAGGCAGACAGATCTCTGTAAATTCAAGGCCAGCCTGGTCTACAGAGCAAGTTCCAGGACAGTCAAGACTACATAGTGAGACCCTGTCTCAAAAACCAAAAAAAAAAAAAAAAAAAGAAGAAGAAAAGAATAGTTCCTCAGCCTCTACCTTGCACAACTTTCCTCAGGAGGTAGTGTCCCTGTATCTGTGTGACCTAGAAAAACAGCTGAGCACCCAGATCTCAGACCACTTCTGCCTGCCCCCAAGCACGCACCATGTCCTCATCACATAACAGGCCCCATGAGAAAAGCTCTATTGTCTCCACTCCACAGTAAATCCTGACATAGATCAGAAGCCTGACCATCCTGGGGTTGAGGGGAGACTAGGAGGTTCAGCACAGCAATGGGCAAGTCTGCAGGGCAGAAATGAGGCCAGCACCCTCATCCTTCCCATTGTATCTCAGTGCAGTCACAAAATCAGTCAGCAGCACACTTGGTCTGTGGCCCCAATTTGAAGTCCTGCAGAAATAACAATCTTTGAAATCGTCAAAAAGGCTCATCATGTATGCACAGCTGCAAAAAGATGAGAGCGGCATTACCAGGTCTGGGGTCACTTGCAAAACACCTTGCCAGCTCAGGTTTCTTTGCAGACCTGGGGAGATCCTCCCCGGGGATCATTCCTTTTAATTTCTCAAAAGGAAGTTTCAGTATTGTAGTCTCAAGTGCGCTCGATCTCTGGAGTGGTGGTGAGCAGCAATTTATTTATTCATTTTCTATTTTTGAGGCATCGGGGAGAGTGCCTGCACATAAAAAGGACTGGCTTAATCTCCCTGGCACCCAGAGAGGCATGATGGTTGACCCTGAGCTGGAGCCACAGCCCAGTTCCTTTTCCGCATTTCCTCACCATTCACTCGCTTGCTCGTGAGCTCTGTCACACAGCAGTAACCCATTGAGCAGCCAGTAACTACAACGCTATGCTGAGTGCCGGCTGGCGGCAGCCCACCAACATGTTCACTGCTCCCTGATGGTGTGGTGTTTGATACAGTAAGTCAACAGCTATACCAACAGTGGTAGATGGCATGAGGTCAAGAGCAGGCTGCCCACAGGAGCGACAGGAAGACATACAAGAAGCTACAAGCCAGGGGAAGGAAAAGCCCACATGGAAAGAACCTAAAGAAGGGTATTTCCAGAAAGGAAACTCCTGGATAGGTGAGTCTTTGCACCTCCACCATGCTCCAGCTTGGCTCTGCTAAGGGGAGCAAGGAATGCTGGGAACATAGCAGTGCTGCTGGGAAGGGAGGAAGGTGGATAGAGTCTGGATTGGTTCTGAATGTGGTGGGACATTACCAAAAGGTCAGAGCAGGGGAGACACCCTCTGACTTTGGCATTTGACTCCTAGATGCCAGAATCTCCCCTTCTTGACTCCATAGTGCCCCTTTCCCCTCATCTGGCCCTGGTATTGCCACAAGGAATGCCCTCTATTCTGTCCTGGCCCACCACAATCATCTCTTACAGACTGAATATGTCTCAGACTTTGGTATTAAAATTCTAACACCTAATCTGATGGCCCTGAGAAGTGGAGCCTTAGGAGGTGACCATGTCATGGGGTGAAGACCTGGGACTATGTTCCTTAAGAAGGAGACCCCTGAGAACTCTCTAGCCCTCTGCTGAATATGAGTGGTCACAACAAAAAGATAGCCATCCACAAACCAGGAAACAGGCTCTCACCAGACACTGAATCTGCCATCGCCAGGATCTTGAACTTTCCCAGGCCCCAGAACTGTAGGACACACATTTGTTGGTTAAACCACATAGCATAGGGCCTTCTGTTAGAGCAATCCAAGTGGACAAGACATAGCCCTTGTCTGTCTCTCCCCTCCCACATCAGGCTCCAGGCTACAGAGAACAATCAACACCCAGCAAGTGACAAAGTCTTCTGGTCACACCCACCCAGTTGTGTTCCTCCAATAGAACCTCCATGTCAGGTGGTTTCCAAAAAATGGGCTCCCGGCTCCAAAAGAGGAAGCAGAGACTGTCGCACTAGTCCCCTGTGGCTGCTAACTGCTACGATGAGCTCATAGGGTGTGGAGAAGGATGCAGAGCCTGCTGAGGCATCTCACAGATTTCAAGCCTGGGCAGAGATTGGGCAAGAAACTGGACAGCTGCATGGAGGGAAGAGGAGGGGCAGAGTAACACCGCCTCTCTGCAACCCCATGTCTCCTTGCCACACTGGGCCTTCTTCCAGGCAATGTGAGGCAGAGGCAAATGAGACATGGCCCTTGCCGCCAGGACTAGCAAACCAGTGCACGGTAGTTCTCTAGAGCCCATGCCAGGAACAAATTCTAATAGATATGGGTGTTCTTGCTATGATGGTGATGGCAGTGCAGAGAGACAGGGTTGGGTGGCACTTTCACAAGCAAACCGACAGGTAAGGAGGTGCAGTAAGAGCCCCGAGAAGAAAGGCAAACTGAAGATTCCAGCATGGCATTGATTGCCCGCCCTCACAGGCTCAGCACGACACCATCGAATGCTCAGCACATCCTGACTCATCTGAAGCTTCCTGAGGGCCTACGGGGCTGAAGCAGATGCAAATAAGGGCGAAACCTCCGTGACTGTGGAAAGCAAGATTGATCTAGTCGAGCACGGCTGACGATGTCTATTTATCACACGATCCATTAAGTGCAACTGCGAGCCTCAGGAGGGAGAGGGTATTAAGAAGCACGCGTACCCAGAGGAACATGAACGGTCTCTCTCCGGCCATTAAAGTAATTCAATAAAAGACAGACAATGGACTTAGAGAGGAGACAGGTGGGAAACATGCCCGTGAAGAGATGTCCAAAAGATTAATCTCTGGGAGACACAGTGTAAGCTATGAGGTGACACCATTGACACCACTGTAGTATGGCTACAAGAAGTACTAACCGTGTCAAGGATGGAGAAGGTGCAGCCTGGCCTATTAGCAGCTGGGAAGGTGCAAGATGACTACCCCGGGCAGTGGCCTGGCCCAGTCCTGTCGAGACCCTCTTCCTCAAAGACCCCAAGAGTACCCTCGGACAGTCACATAGATTTGGTTAAACGCCTAAGAATGGAACTAATGCAGCAATTATGGCGACACTCTAGAAACCGTGAAAATGGGCATCACAGCTCCAGAAAGGAAAAACAGTGACATGCTCAAATAAGGCGACGATGGAGCAAGAGGAAACTATAAAACTCAGGAACAAACACACACACACACACACACACACACACCATTTTACTCCTACACACAAGAATACTGAAGGAAAGAAACAAGACATCAAAGAGCTCAAGCAGTGTACATGGATCGATGCATATAAAATTCAAAGGGAAGTAAAATGAGACTCAAGAGTCACGGACCTATTCCTAGGGTCAAGTTTATGAAGACAGAGGGACAGAAGGGTCACAGCCACTTGTGCCCAGGAGAGAAGAGCATGGCTAGAAGGACACTAGACAGAAAGGTTCTAATTCTCGTCCTCCTCTAGCCTCTTGCTCCTAAGGCCACACACACTGGTGGTCATAAGTGACATCCCTATGCTAAAGTCTGTCTTCCCTGGAACTTTCTGTCAACTAATCATGGACACAGCTTAACTCCAAATGGGAGCACGGAGGCCATTGTATGTCCTTCCATGTCAGACTCTGGCTCTGCATTCCACCAATCCAGTGTTCCAAACCTCAGTCCTCTGGTCTGTCAATACAACACGAGGGTCCCCGTTATGCCTAGCTCATAGCTAGGACAATAACTACTAAAAAGATGTGTTTCCAAATCCTTGTGTTAGACTGTGAACCCCAACACCATGGGTTTGGGAGGTGGAGCCTTCTGAGAGTGACTTCATGAGGGCAGTCTTCATAAAAGGTTCATGCCATAACAGTGAAACTGGGGTATATAAAGTAGGCTCCCTCTTGCCTGTCCTTCTGCCATGTCGTGTCACGGGTAGCAGGAGAGCCCCACCAGGCACTGCCACTGTGCTCTTCCATGTCCAGAACTATGAGCTAAATAAAATATTTGTGTGTAATTTTTTCCAGTCTGTGGTCTTTAGTCATTGCCACGGAAAAGAACTAAGATGAAGGACCGTGGGATTGACGCTCCACATGCCAGAGATGGTTCAGGTGTCTGAAGGCTGCTAGGAAGTGAGGTCAAACTGCACTCCTGTGGGTGGCCTGTCTGAGGTACTGCAAACACCCGTCTATGGGGTTCCGTGAACATCTTTCAGCAGCCAATAAGCTGGGGCCTCTGAGGCAGATCGCTCAGCCTATTTCCTGTTTTCAAACAGAGAACTCAGTGGAGCAGCAGACACTCAACCATCTCGTCTCCTCTTGTCTCGTAGGACCTTAGTCTCGCCGGACCTTAGAACAGAGATCGGAGTGGGGCATGTGACTCTCCTGGAACCCTGGACCCACAGAGCCTGAAGATCCCAGGTCAGTCAGTGTTTGACCCCAAGCTCAGCTGGCTTCTGCCCACTGAGACTCTGACCTCATTGAGAGATCCTCTGGGAACTTGCTGGGGACAGAGCAGGAAGGATGGAGGCTGGTGAGAGCCTCTACCAGTAGGGCTTTCCTTAGAAACCGGGGGCAAACTGGGCATAGCCCCTTCAACCTCTAGTCCTGGTTCCTTTTGAAATGCCAGGCACCATTCCTGTTCTGGGGAACAGGTCTAGACTTGTGTTTCTCAAAGACTGGAACTAATGACCCTGAAACAGAGTACAGAATCCAGGGCCCACCCCAAGGCAGTCTGGGTGTTGTGAGGTTGACAGCCTGCCTGTTTTTTTAGAGCCCTGAGCACTTCCTCTCCCCGACCCCAGTGGGGATTCTGATGCACACCCATGTTTGAGAGCTCTTCCCTTCTAGCAATGGACTTCACAAGGAGGCACCAGGGGTCCCATGGCGCTCACCCTTCTCTGGCAGGCAGGTGGGGATACCGCAGATGACATTCCAAGGAAGAGCTGGGAAACCTGCCCAAGAAAGAAAGGGGCTTAAAATAAAACTCAACTGCCACTCCTGGCATTTCCTTCCTTCTTCTCTTTGAACGGGTGCTTCTCAATTCTTCTTTCTTGCGGGGAATAGCAAGATGCTCGTCCCCTCTTCAACCCCCAAGAAAGGTGGCCTGTGTACCCCAGGAACACTGAAGAGGCAGGAGCCCTAAAAGCAGGTAGCAAGGCACCAAGAAGATGGGAAGAATGATTGTTATGCACAGGAGCTGGGGTGGGAAGGAAGGCATATTTCTGAGGTCTTCCAAGGCCTCAAATCAAGAAAACAGATCTGGAAAGACCTGGACCACTAAGGCTAGCCGCACACACCCCCATTCACTGACCACTAAGGCCAGCTGCACACGCACCCATTCACTGACCACTAAGGCCAGCTGCACACACACACACACCCATTCACTGACCACTAAGGCCAGCTGCACACATACACACCCATTCACTGACCACTAAGGCCAACTGCACACACACACACCCATTCACTGACCACTAAAGCCAGCTGCACACACAAACCCCCATTCACTGACCACTAAGGCCAACTGCACATGCCCCTATTCACTTCACAGACAAAATGATAGAGAAAGGCAAAGAGTGGCCACAGAACACACTAAGTCCCCATTAGATAAGTCAGGTGTGCTGACCACACCTGCAGTCCCAGCACTTGGGGGGCAGAGGCAGGAAGACTATGAGTTCCAGGCAGTCTGGGCTAAATAGTGTGGCACTGTCTCCAAAAACTTCCACTACAAATGACAGCATGTGACCAACTATAGCGAGCACTTAGCACAGTGCTTTTCAACCCGTGGGCCACAGACTCTGCATATCAGATGTTTACTTTATGATTAGTAACAGTAGAAAATTACAGATAAGAAGTGGCAATGAAATAATTTTGGGTGGGGTCCCCACAATATGAGAAACTATATTAAGGGGTCAGAGCATTAGGAAGGTTGAGAACCGCTGACTTAGCAGAACAAGAGGGACCCATCTCTTCACCATGTCCTAACAGTGGGACAAGGCTGTCTTTCCTTCCCAGAGGGAAATGGGAAAATGGAAAACAGAAGGTAGTGAATAACTTGCCCCAGGGCCTTAGTCAGTCGGGATGGAGGCCATCTCCTGACTCCTCCATAGGGCTGAGAGTTTGGAAAGGCACACAGTCTGTTGAGTACACAAGCATTTACAGCCCTGGGTCAGTTAGGCCCCTGCTCTGTGCCTCAGTTTGCCCACCTATAAATGTCAGGCTTGATGGAGGGTCCTTGAAGGCACTTATTAGATCACTGCTTAGAAAACAGCTCAGGGTTCCTTCCATGTCCTATCAAGAATAGCCCCCTGAGGCATAGACTCAAGCCCAGCTAGCCTCCCATAGGCCAGGCCAAGAGTCCTAGAGAGGTGATGTCATCATTACACCCCCGCCTTGAATTCCTGTACTATGGTGGTTAATCTTGCCAACTTAGCTGGATTTACCATCCCCTGGGAGCCAAGAGAAGTGCACCTCTAGGTGTGTCTGTGGGGTGTTTCCACAGATGACTAAGTAAGGGGGAAGGACCCACACTTGAATGTGGGTAGCACTATCCCAAAGACTAGGAGGAAAAGAGGGAAGTGTGGTTCAGTGAGGTGGCTTAGCAGGTAAAGGTGTTTGCTGCTAAGACTGATGAGCTGAACTCAAGCCCCATAACCCATGTGGTAGAAGGAGAGAACCCACCCTTGCAAGCTGTCATATGACCTCCATACTCTTCATGTGCATGTGTGAGCACACACATGTATGTACTCACATGCATGCACATGTACACACACAGGTACACACATACATACATGTTTAAAAAAGAAGTGGGGAAAGCCTCTATTAATGTAGACATAGTCTCCCCCTTTCCCTTTCTCTCCCCTTCCTCCCTCCTCTCTGCTTCCTGGACACCAGGAGGTGAGCGGCTGTGTTCTGCCCATGCCCTCCCCGCTATGAGGAGCTGGAATCTGAAACTGAGCATAGGAAGCCCTTCCTCTGTCAGTTGTTCATCTCAGGCATTGTCAGTGATGAGAAGAAAATCTACATGTGCCTAAAAGGGTACCCGGCCATCTGTGCATCTGAGAGGAGGCTTTTATGACTCTTCTAATTTGCAGCTAGCTATCTGTCAAAAGCATACACTTCTAGAGCCATTTCATTACTATTGCTCACGCACCTAACACACATCAGATCCTAGTAACAGAAAGGACTGTGCTGCCCCTGGTGTGTGAAGGACACTGAGTCTAAGCTCTATGGGGTAGACCTAGCTTGACCCTCAGCCCAGCCTGTGAAGGTGGGTTCTGATACTGTACCCATTTTATAAGACACCGGGGCACAGGGCAGCTAGGTGGCTGACAGCTGCCAAGTCATCCATCCGTATGTGTACACACTGGACACTAGAAGCCTGCCGGCCTGCTGTCTGCCTCCTGTCCACTTCCGTAAGAGCAAAGATCATGTCGTCAGCCAACTTGGGCTTCTGTCCCAGCCCTGCATCTCAGAGCCTCGGCACAAAATGAAAATATAAACAGTCCCTGTAGAGGAGGGAAGTGAGATTGAGGCCGTGAAGACAAATTCACAGTGTGTCTGTGGTGGCAGTTCCATCTGGCTCCTTCGTACACTCACCAACCACAGACTTTGGGTTAGACCTGTTTCTGTATCTGTTATTAGGCAGGAGTAGCAAAGTTTTGTGGGTGTTCTATTAAAAAGGAAGGGTGAGCAGGTGGTGGTATACACCTTTAATCCCAGCACTCAGGAGGCAGAGGCAAGCGGATCTCTGTGAGCTGTAGGCTAGCCTGGGCTATGCAGAGAAACCCTGTCTCAAAAAAAAAAAAAAGTAAGTCTGAAGAACCAGTTGAGATGAACTAGGCATATTGAATATTTACTTTAAAGTAGATACACAGGGTGCACTGTAATATAAAACTGGGTGGTGGGACATTTATCTAGACTAGCCAGCATCTTTCTCCCAGGTAATTTCCAAAGTTACTGCTGTCACTTGACACGACTCCATGTGGAATCCAAAGCAACTGTACACTCCATGGATCACAACCCCAGCTCAGGGTCTGTCTGTCCATCAGAGGGGAAGGCTAGGTTTGATCTGGCTGGGTGGGCAGTAGAGAATCAAGCACAGTGATCACTGATATTCCTCCATGCCTGTCAGCACAGATCACAACCAGAATCCCAAGCACCCCAGGATCTTGCAGGAGCCCCAACACGAGTTGGCTCTCACTACTCTCTTTTATACCTCTAGAAGCCTTGGAGCATGGCAAGTCTCGAGCATCCTGGGAGCCCTGGCTGGACAGGACCCATACACCAGTGCACACCAACAACCAGACAAGACGTACTGCCCTCCGGCCCAGACCTCCCATGTTCAGGACCAGAAGAACACTTAGGTAAACTTGAGATCTTGGGGTTCAGTGCCAGGGGGCAGAAGTTAGTTCAAAGACATCTGAAGCTCTTCAGTGACTGCACCAAGAAGCTGGGTAACTGTCTTAACTGGGGTCACCCCTGAGAAGCCCCAAGACAAGGATTTGGTGCAGGCTCCTTATGTTGGAGGCAGAGCGGGGACTGTAAACAAGATCAGCATCCTGTATAGGGGGTGGATGATCCCATGACTGGGGTGGGTGCCTGGGACTCAGTCTGGATGAGGGTCCATGGGAAGGTGTAAGGAACATAACTAAGTTGTGCATCCAAGGGACAAAGAAGTCAGTGATTGTCCACCATCCCTTCCTGCAAACGCTGGCCCAAGCATGTTGCTGTGGTCCTAGAGAGGCCCCAGGATTCTAAGTTGAGAGGCTTCCCAGAACAGTGGCTGCCAATGGGTCCTAGCCTGGCACTGATGATACCTGCAATAGTGCCATCTCCTGGACCAGTCTCTCTTTACACCCATTCAAGATGGATCTGCAGAAGCTTGACATGTGTCGGGCTTGGAAAGTAAAACTGATCACCCTCTTAGCCTTCAAGCTCAGTCTCCATTAGTGAAAAATAATTAGAAATGTCACAAAGAAGCTACTGGAACAAAAGAGGAGGCACTTACCCCAGTATGAAGGGGAGATAGTGACATGCGAGTCACGTGACACAAGATAAGGATTTCCCAGCCTGCACTTCTTGCAATAACTGCACAATTATTTATGTAATAGTGTTGGAAGAAACTATGCAGATTCTCAAAAGGGTATGGGGCTCAAGTGAAGCTTAAGAAACATTGTCAAAAGCTGGACGGTGGTGGCACACACCTTTAATCCCAGCACTTCGTAGGCAAAGGCTTCGCGATCGCTGTGAGTTGGAGCCTAGCCTGGTCTACAGAGTTCCAGGATAGTCAGAGTTACACAGAAAAATCTGTCTTGAAACAACAATAAAAAATACAAAACACTATTGGTCTCCAGGCAAGGAAACAGGAGGACTGGTTTCAAAGCAGAGAGTGGCAGGTGTACCCTGAAAGTGTTGTTAGTCTAGTAAGTCCCTCCCCGCCCCCCAGTTGAGGCTGAAATATGACCCCCTCAGGGCTTCCTCACCACACTGATGTGCACTCATGGGTTCCATGGCTCCCTGGAGTCGATGCTGTAGGGAATACAGAAGCAAACATGGACGCGTCCCTGTTTACCAGGGCACGTGGTTACAGAATGGTCCATCAGCGGGCTGGAAGTGGGTGATGCAACTCTCCCACAGTGCACTTCCTAACAAGAAGCAGTCGAGTGCTACATTACATGATTGACAGGGTCCTGGCTGATGCCCCAGCAGTGAGGGTGAGAGGAAGGGTAGGCCCTTCCAGAACTCTGACAGCCCAAGCCAAGCGGACCCAGTCATCTTCCCCCAGCCCCGGCCTAGAGAGCACTGCCTACTGCAGATTCCTTAACCGCACTGTCCTTCCAGAAACCCAGGACGGTCCTAGCTCCAACTCCAGCATGACCACCAGGGAGCTACAGGAACACTGGCAAAAGGAGAAGAGCCGCTGGCGACACGTCAAGCTGCTCTTTGAGATCGCTTCAGCCCGCATCGAGGAGAGGAGAGTCTCCAAGTTTGTGGTAAGCAGAGCATAGATGTGAGGAAGCCCCTGTCAGTCACCTCCCGCATGCTCCCAGGGAGGTCTCGGGAGACTGCAACTTTCCAGCCAGGACGTGACACACTAACTCACTGTCTTCCGAGAAATGGAGGTTTCATGCATGGCTCCGCATGCAGGGTCCCACGAAGATTAGAGATGTGTGATCACGTGACTGACCCCGTGATGTCAGGTGTCAGTTATCTGTAGCCCTTCACTGATTCTGTGCTATCATCCAAACTACGTGCTTGGTTTTTATTCAAATGGCTTTAAAAAAAAATACAGCTACATTTCAGTAAAAGATCGGTTTCCCACGACACGAAGGAAAACCAATTGCAAAAGCAAACACAAAAGAAAGCTGAAGTCTTATTAAATTCTAGCTGCTGGTCCTGGTTGTGGGAAGCGCCCTGCTGGGAGCTGCCATCTTTGTGAGACTGGGAGATCAGCATGTTCTAGAAGATAGAAGAGTCACACCAACCTCAGTAATTCCCACCTCTCCGGGAGCAGGCCACCCTGTCCCTCCTTCTCACTGGGTCCAGCACAGTTACAATAGCCACCAGTGCGTGCTGGGCACGGCTCTCCCTCATATCAGTGAGTTCCCTCACTGGTTTAATCCCCATGGAGAAAACAGAGACTATTCCTATACTCAAGTTAGCGAAGGGGAAGCTCAAAGAGGTTAAATTACCAAAGACTAATGTGGCTAAATGTGTTATACCGGAAACAAATGCCCAGGTGGTCCACACAAGCCCTCCCAATTCCAGCCCACGCTTCCCAATTCAGAACTTTGAGCCCTCATTTTTATGATAAAAAGCCAAGAAGAGACCTCAGGTCCACGACCAAGTTCCTGCGCTCTTTTTCTTCCACGATGCTTCTAAGCACTGTTCATCTAGGACCAACATTTGCCATGCAACCTTTACTGATAGCGAATACAGCATGGGGGGGGGGGTGGATGAGTCTCCAAGTATGTTACATGCATACATAAAATAGCAGAGGGCCCGCCAGACGGCTCAGCCAGTAAAAGCACTTGCTGCCCAGCTTGACCACCCAGAAAGACAAGGTGGAAGGTGAGAACCAATTCCCACAAGTTGTCCTTATACACACACATGCACACGCACACAGCGTGTGCACTCGGAGTGTCCCGAGGCTAGCCTCTCCGTATGTGTACATACACACAAACTGGGTGCATTAGGGGTGTCCCATTGCACATGTACATAGCATGTGCATTCAGAGTGTCCCAAGGCTACACACACACTGCATGCATTGGGGGGTGTCCCGAGGCTACACACACACACACACACACACACACACACACACATATTGCGTGCATTGGGGGTGTTCCGAGACTACACACACACTGAGTGCATTGGGGGTATCCCGTGCCTAGCCTCTCCCTCTGCCTGCAGATGTATCAGGTCGTAGTCGTCCAGACAGGGAGCTTCGACAGCGACATGGCGGTTGTGGAGCGGCGCTACTCGGACTTCGAGAGGCTGCACAAGGCCCTCCTGAAGCGCTTCGGGCCGGAGCTGGAGGACGTTGCCTTGCCGCGGAAGCGCCTGACGGGGAACCTGTCGGCCGAGACCATCTGCGAGCGCCGCCTGGAGCTGCGCGACTACCTGCGGCTGCTGTACGCCGTGCGCGCCGTGCGCCGCTCGCGCGAGTTCGTCGACTTCCTGACGCGGCCCGAGCTGCGCGAGGCCTTCGGCTGCCTGCGCGCCGGCCAGTACGCACGCGCGCTCGACCTGCTGGGACGCGTGCTGCCGCTGCAGGAGAAGCTGACGGCGCACTGCCAGACCGCCGCGGTGCCCGCGCTCTGCGCCACGCTCGTCTGCCTGCGCGACCTGGAGCGGCCGGCCGAGGCCTTCGCGGTGGGCGAGCGCGCGCTGCAGCGCCTGCGGGCCCGCGAGAGCCACCGCTACTACGCGCCGCTGCTGGATGCCATGGTGCGCTTGGCCTACGCGCTGGGCAAAGACTTCGCGTCGCTGCAGGGCAGGCTGGATGACAGCCAGCTCCGGAGTCCCACGCACAGGGGCTTCACCCTGAAGGAGCTCACGGTGCGAGAGTACCTGTCCTGAGCTGGCCTGGCTGGTGCCCTGGCATCCAGACTGCGGACAAAGACCTGGGTCACTATCGCTGGCTGGCTGCTTGGGGCTATCGCGGGTGGGTTTTGCTGGACAACTTTAGACAAGAACCTCTTTACTATGTCTGCTAAGCAGAGGGCTCCTGAGATCCCTGGAAGAGTCATCTTGTGCCCCTTGGGTGCAAGGTTCTTTGAACCCTGAGCCCACAGGCTTAGCTGTCAAAACTTTGCAAGTACTGTGGGCCTTACCATCTGGGAATGGGATGAACTGCCTTCCGCAGAGAATGAGTTCAAGGCCAGCCTTGAATTTGGTGAGACTGTCGAGGCCAGCCTGGTCTACAAGAGCTAGTGCCAGGACAGGCTCCAAAGCTACAGAGAAACCCTGTCTCGAAAAAAATAAAAAAATAAAATAAAATAAATAAATACAGAGTTCTGATGATGGCTCAATAGCCGAATGCTTACCGAACATATGAGATGCCTTCGTTTCAATCCCCAATACTACAATAAAAGAAAAAGAAGCACTCGGTTTTTTTGTAAGCAGCCAGGGAAGAAGTTTGCATGACGACCTCGTACCTCATGGGACTAATGAGCTGAGCTCATGGAACAGTCTAGTGAATGAGCCAAGAGACCAAGGCACCACACTGATGTATGAAGAGTTCTTCCAAGATAGGATTCACAAAACTGCACCCAAATCTTGTTCAATATGGACGTCTTATGGCAAGTACCACAATGGGCCTGTGCAGGCCTTTAGAATGAAGCAGAGAGAAAGTCTTCCTTCAAGCACTTTTTCCAGGAAGACACTGCAAGTGGAAATACTGGACTTTGGGGAAATTACTCAGTGGCAAAATAAAAGCTGTGTCTGTTTGTCCTGGTGATTCTGTAAGCTATTTCTTCAAGTCTAAAATGTACTCAATAAAACACAACAGAGAAAACAGTGCCCTGTATACAGAACTAAATAGGAATTTCTAGGGGAAAAATAGCTGAGTAACCAAAGAACCAACCGGATTCTCATTGGAAGGCTCAACCAATGTTGAGCCAAACTTCTGCTATGGTTTGAATGCCCCCACTCTGAACTCTAACTGTGAAATAGTAAGAGGGTAGAAATTGACGTGGTGGCGCATGCCTGTAATCCCCACCACTCAGGAGGCTGAGGCAGGAGGATTGTGTGTTCCAGGGCAGCCTGGGAGATGTAGTAAATTCCACCTTGGCTTGGGCTATTAAGTTTCAGGCCAGCCGGGCATGCATGTCTAAATAAAGAAGGGGTTGGAAACGTATCCAAATATGGGGTCTGGAGGTGGCAGTTTTGGAAAGTAATTGATACTAGACCAGAGCATAAGGACAGGCCTCTGCAATCGCACGGGTGACCTCATCAAAGGTGCCTGCCTTTTCTGTCTTTCCTTGTGATTCCCCCACGCAGCCTTGAGACTCTGCAGAGTCCCACCACTTAGAAGTCCCTTATCAGAAGCAGCCCTCTTGACTTTGGACCTCCAGAACAAAGAGCTGAAGAAGCCTCTGTTCTTTATGAATTCTGCAGTCTATGGTACCTGGCTGCTGAACAGAAAATGGACCAAGACTCCTATGCGTTCCACCCTGTGACTAAGGACAATGGTGATGTGACCAAGGATGAAAAACATCTGGGTATCTGGACTCCAACTAGCACTCACCCACACCCGGGGCTGATTAATCACAGTTTGGGCTAACATAGCTTAAGCAGAGAGGCTGGGCTTCAGTGCTCTCTGATGGACATATCCTTGGCATTGTAAGAGAAAGAAAAAGGAATCTTATTTAAAAAGAGAAGAGTGTTCGGCACTAAAATGTGTGTCTCCAGACTGTGAACGGGCCGTGTGTTGGGAGCGAGTGTGAGTAACTGTGGCTGTGTGGATGTGAGAGTGTAGAGGGACATCCCGTGGGCACACTGGGAGTAGCTACAGCATCATGTAACAGGGTCTCCCTCAGTGCACCTGAAGAAGGACCAGGCGTCCTACACAGCGTGCAGGCAAGGACTTGTCCTGTTGGCCTGAGTGAGGCCAAAGCAGCTGCAGGACCCCCCCCCCCCCCCCCCCCCCCCCCCCCCCCGCACACCTCTCCCTGACGGTGCCCTACGCTGCTCTCCTGTTGCGTGGTGAACTTTTCATCTGGAGAAATTTGAATAACATCTGTCGCACCTGGAGCTTCAGCAACAGAACAAAGTTTGGTGCCGCCTGAGTTCGGTTGGGTGAAGCATCTATCTACTGAGCTTGTGTGCAGCACACAGGTAAGGTGTTGTTTATAGGGTGTGTGCATGCGTGACCCCCAAAGCACTGGCACCACAGAAGGCCTTGCTCTAGCAGAGATGCTGACTTCCCCATGGCTGCACAGATGGAATCCCCCTTCACTTAACCTCTCACGGTCTGTAAGCTCTGGCACCTCCTGGGCCCACAAGACCATGCGCAACCCTGAGCAGAATTACATACAGCTGGGAGGGAGGCCTGGAGAGGAGTGGCTGGAACCCCGGGTGAGCATCTCTACATCCTTCCTACCCCTCGTTCTACGAGGGAAGGCCCACAGGCAGCTCGAGAGGGGCTGTCGCTATGGTCACCGCTGCTCTGATGGCCGTGAGAATGGCCTTTCTGCTCGGAGGACAGTGATCTGCAGCACCTGCCTGGGTCTCCCAACAGCCTTCTCCTCGGCCACTGTAGTGTCTGCTGCTCACACACTCTGTGTTCGGCCATGATGATAGTTCAAAGGCCTATGATCACTGCCACACTGGCCACCCCTCCCAGCACTTGGAGTCAGAGACCTCTTTGTTTCCTGCACTCCTGGGAGAGGCCCTCTGAGTTTGTAGGCAACCCCTCCAGGGAGCTTCCTCTTGGCCTACTCCTGCCATGACCCTGTGACCCCATGTAGTGCTCCACTTCCCTGTTTCCGAGAGCACCTCCCACCACAGTGACTTAGTCCTTGCTCCACAGAACATTGAGAATAGTGGCAGCCAGGACTAGATCTCCCTTTCCCAAACTGGCTCCCAAGGAGGAACACAGTGCGCCTGCCCTTGGCGCTCAAGGAGGGACACAGCAGCACGTGAGGAGAGCGGTTTGCTCTGCCACACCCTCTCCACCATGGCATCCTTACCACAGCCCAGAAGTAGAACCGGAATGCCATAGGCCGGCAGTGCCAGGAGAGAGACCCGCCACACAGCATCCATGGACACAGAGCCCAATGGGATGCCCACCCTCACCCAAAGAGACACACAGACCCTGGCCTCTGAAACCCGGAGCCCAAACCAGTTTTTCCTTCCTTAATTTGTTTCTCTCGGGTGTTCATCAGTGAGACAGTCACAGTGGCGGCATGAGGCTCACAGCCATGCCCATGAGCTTGCTCTGGATGTTAGCCCCAACGCCTGGGGACTAGGCTTTCATGTTAGCCATCTAGGTAGAGATAGGCAACCCCATTATACTCTGAGTCCATGGATGGCTATGTTCCAGGCTTCTCTCCTCATACTGCCAGCCCAACCCTGTCCAGGCCACACTCTCTTACCACTTACAGCTGAGAACAAGCACCCTGGGGTGTTAAAGTGACTTTCCCAGGGTCACATGACTCCTATTCAGTAGAGCAGGAAGTGAAACTTAGGCTGTGTGACCCCACGTCCTCACCTCCATCACTGGAGGATGGAGGGTGGCTGCCCCGGGACCCCTCACCCAAAAGAGCTCTTTGAGGCCGTGCCACCCCTCTGTTTACAGATGTGGAAAGTGCGCAGGGGCACTGTAAGATGTCTGGACCAGACCTGGGCTACCCACCGCATGGCGAAATACTCCCACCGGTAAGGCAGATGGAGGAATCCTCGTTTCAGATTCTAGATGTCCTTGGTGGTCACCTAGCTGGACTTGGGGGGCTCAGGGTCAAGGATGCCTAGCTTCCAGGCTGCAGGGGGTAGAGGGTCTGCTCAGCTGTGCTCCCCACCCCTCATGAGGTTCCTGCGGCTCTCTGCTTTGGAGCTCCTAGGGCTGGTTTCCCCTGCTAACCCAGAATGTACCAAAGGCCCATCTGTCCCTGCTGGAAATGACCTGGACAAGAGCTGGGCTGCACGGATGGTCACTCTCAGCCTTTCCTCTTGGGTCCTGTTAGGCCACTGTAGGTTTTAATCACTTGCCATGTGCTATTTTCTTTTAGCGGTCTGTTTTATTTATGCAAATCTATTTGCAAAATGTAACTATAACTCCAAGTGGAAAGTCAGAATCCCTTGCCCTCATTAGAAGGTGACTCTAACAATAAACAGTGACACCTGCCGCCCTCAATGTGACCAACAGGCCTTGCCCGAGGCAGGTGGCAGGCCTCCGCTGCTAAGTCCCATCTGTGCTGATGGACTCTGGGGACTGGCGAGCACTGCTCAATGGAGAAGAAGTGTCCGCCGTGTGGTCCCCTCCTGCCAGCGCTGTCCTAAGCCATCTGGGTCTGACCCACATAAACCCAAGTCACCTGTCTGGTCCAAGCAAGCCATAGACTTCATCACCTACTGTTCATTCCTGAGCACTGGTCTCAGCCCTGTTTACTGTCTCCAAAGGCTTGTGTCTGCTCTGACTTTGATTGCATGACCTTGAGCAGCAAAGTCGCGTCAGGAGCTGGTATTCAAGCTTTAGTGCCCGACTTCAAGCTAATTCCAGATAACAGCACCCATTCTTGGAGGAAGTGATCTGAGCTGGCCAAAGCCTGACCCTGCAGCGTGTCCTCTGAAGGAGATCTTGGTGCAGCTAGCCTTGCTGAGAGGAAAAACAATGAGACGAAATGCCCTCTGTCCCAGGGACCAGCCTCCATCAGACCCACACGGGCCATCTTGCCTGCCACGTACCTGTGCATGTCTTCTCAGAACAGGGAAAGTCAAGGCACTTTTATGTCTTGGAGCCTAAGAGCAGAATGACAAGCTGGAGGCTGGAACATGCTTATGCCAGCATGACAAGCACTCAGAGCAAACAGAAGCTCTGACAGCATGGTGTCCTGTCGGGTCCGATGTCCCAACAAATAACTACTTTTCCCTAACTGGACCGATGTGGAGGCGCAGGAAATCATGAGACACGGTTCACACAGCAATATCGGAAGGGCATCTCAGGCTTCATTCATTCCTGAAGATCACCTGCGTTTATTATACAAACACCTTTTATTCCCCCAGATAAACCAAGGTGGAAACTCATTAATATTCTCTTTCCGGGGGACGAGGGAGTACCTTCACACCTGCAACTCAGTCACCAGCTTGGAATCCACACCTCTTCCCAGGCGATCTACATAATAACAAAGAGAAGGAGTGGTCCATCCTGAGCCTTTTGTTAGGTGGCTACAGGTGTCTGGCCGGATAGCAGCTGCCCTTGGAAACTAAGCAAGGCCAGAGAACCGGGTTGCAAATATCTCGTATGAAACATGGGCCTGCAGTGTCCCTCAGCCAGATGGCTGGAGAAGAGTTCTCAGAGGAAGCGTTGCGTCTCTGAGGGTGCAAAGGAGCCAGCATGGAGCCCAAGTGAGGGAAAGCAGAATGTCAATGTCAGGCCAGAACCTGACATCAGGTACCAGCAGATAGAAAGACATTGCTAGCGGCCGGCTCAGTCAAAGTCAATGAGCTGAGGAGCTTGTGCTTGGTGCGTGTGGAGCCCTTCATGAGTTCCACACACAAAACCACAAGTTAACCTGACACGGAAAGAACCTACTGTCTGACGATCCCAGCAATGGACTGGCTGCCGGCCAAACTGGATCCAATCTCACCATGCATGCACGCACACATGGACATAAACATGCACACACACACACACACACGGACAAACACACAACAGACGCTGACACATACAGAGACACACACAGGCACACAGACACACGCATGCACATAGACAGGCACATGCGCATGTGTGCACTTGCGCACACACACACACACACTTGCATGCCACTCTGTTCTGCTTCCTCTGCTTTGCTTTCTTTTCTTTTTTTTTTTTTTCGTTTTGTTTTGTTTTGTGTTTTGAGGCAGGGTTTCTATGTGGTTTTGGAGCCTGTCCTGGAACTAGCTCTTGTAGACCAGGCTGGTCTCGAACTCACAGAGATCCGCCTGCCTCTGCCTCCCAAGTGCTGGGATTAAAGGCGTGTGCCACCACCTCCCGGCTCTGCTTTGCTTTCTTGCTCAGT